AAAATAAGATTAAAAGCAACTTATTTTTTACATATTTTACTTTAAAAAATAGGGGGTCTAAGTTCTTCGTTTAACTTTTAAGGCCCCCCCCCCCCCTAGAAAATAGCATGGAAAGATTTTATTTTTTGTTCGTTTAAAATTTATAAACATTATATAATCATAAATATAAATTATAATTAGGCTAGGGCTATATACAGAAAATTAAGGCAGATAAATAAGCTTGTGATTCAAATCAATTAATATTTTTAATTTTTTTTTTGTTAAAGTTTTGGTTTAGCTTCAGAGATTCCAATCAAATCATGGTAGGTATTTATAACGTTCCATCGCAATAATATCTACATAGGTCGGCGTTTATATAAATACAATAAATTTAACTTTTTTATTTCAGTTTTTTTTCGAAATACAAGTGGACAAAAAATCAAAGCAAAGCTTTTTAATTGACACCTTCTCTTCGTTTCCATGTTTATGTGTATACATGTTGTTTAAAAGCTCGATAAAAATCATAATTGTAATTTAAAGTCGTCTTCATTGTATTAAAAAATGCGACGATGACTGTATAAAAAACCTAAATTTTGAATTGTTTTATTGAAATTTTAGAATAAGTGTAAATAAAATGCAAATCATTCAAAACATATTTTTGTGTGGAAAACTCATGATTGGTAAAAAATCTCTTCAATAAAAGTTTAAAAAGAGAGTCAAGAAATCCCCACCCCCTTCTTCGTTATAAGAACCACTTTTTATGAGGGGGGGGGGGTACCTCCCTAATTATACACCCCTGTGTCTGCAATTGTATCTTCTAAGTTTTCTCGCCTTGTGTTTTAAACTGGAAAAGTTTATAAACTTGACAAAAAGCATAAATTAGAAATTAAACGAAATCTTGAATTATTCTGGAGGAATAGCACAGTGAGCTAATATATTCACATTCCGTAGGAAAAGTACAGAACGGAAGTGAATAGAAAACAGTCGAAATATTGACGTCGTGTCTTTTTCTTTAAAGTGACTGTAAAGAAAAATTGAAAGGGAGTATATGCTAAAACCTAAGCATTTTAGGAGTTGATCGAGACCCATAAGTAGTCTATCTGATGTTCCTGTCTCGAGAAATTGATATAAAACTGTGTCGACTTTATACGAAATTTATATGTATATATTTTGTATAAAAAATCGTAGGTTTAAACAGACCATATTCAGGTTATTTGGCGCTCAAAATGTCGCTGCACAGCAAGGTGCTACGGGGTGTCCCGATAAACATTGGATTTGAGATTTGAGAGACGACAGGAAAGTCTTCTTCGATTTCTGATACTTAAGGAATGGCAAAGAAAGTAAATGAACGAGGCTGTACAGTGTACGTGTTACGAACTTTAAAAAAATGGTCTACCTTTCTCGTGTCTAAAATCTTGACAAAGATATTAGATATTAAATAAATTTAAATTTGTACACATTATGCAATATCTCCGTCAATTTTGTAGATACAATAAAGAAAAATCACATTTTGGAAATCTTAACACCAGACGTTTTCAATATAAGATGTTTAAACTGCAATAAATGTGTTCATGAAAAAATGCCACATCAATCAAAGACGATATAAAAGTCGTCACTTAATTTCCATGTTTATTGGGACACCCTGTACAAGATTTTGTCTTTCCCAGAACTGAATAGATTGCTGTAATATCAACACTTTGTGTAGAAAGCACAAAGCATAATTTAACAGTAAATTCCGGCTTAGCGCTGACATTACGTTGGAAAACATTTCTTCGTTTGTTTCAAAGTACTTTCAAATTTTTTTCAGCAACCATTATAAATAATTCCTCTAATAAAGAAATAGATAAGATGTAAACCTATATATTTTAGGTGAAATTACAATCTAAAAATAAGTATACATCCTCTTGATTAACAAAACTAGCTCTTTGTTCTTATTAAAAGTTCCAGAGTGAAAACCTTTTTGGACTGTAAAACCCAAATTATTAAATACATCAAAAGATTTTATGAAATGTCGTCTTGGCAATTTTTAAATGGGTTTTATACTATTTTACGTAAATCTCAGTATTTGCGGAAATAAATAAATACCCATGAATATGCGGGAACGGTTTAAAGAGCTCCATATAATCATTTAATTTAAATATCTGCAACATTCAATTATCAGAAAGTGAAGAATACGACATTTGATAAATTCTTTCGATGTATTTATTATTTAGGATTTTACTGTACCATAAATCGCACTTTCATCGGAGAACGGAGGAAAACATTAAATTTTTGAAACATTTTAGCAAGGGGGCAAACTTATTTAATATCTGAGATTCAATGGAAAAAAGTAGTTTGTTTGGTTTTTCTAGTTTCCTTTCCATGAGATGAAAATTAAACAAAATTTAACAGTGCCCCCCCCCCTTCCGAGATGATCATGTTAAGTCCTCCAAAGTAATTTTTCCAAGCGGCAGCGGCAACTTCCAAGGGTATTTTATCCGGCGAGAACTTCCAAAATCTTTCCTAGCCGCAGCACTGGGCCCCCATTTGCATTTGGGAAGCTATAACAATTGGGAAATTGTCACTTGGGAAGTCCCCTTGGGAAGATATCCAACGTACCTAAGATGGGAGGGACACGTTACATACCCTCTCCCCCCTGTTAACGTCCCAAAATCCTTCAATTCTTTGCTAACACAAATTCCAAAATAAATGCATAACGAAGACGACAATTCTGGACTTCGGCTTCGCCCTTTCTCCCTAAACTTATAGTATCAAAGATATCAAATCTATTTTTCAAAACGATTAGTAAAATCGTTTTGGTGAACGTTCTGAAAACTGTTTTGGTACAGGGTGTCCCACGAAACATGACAGTTGGTGAATAGTTATGAATGTCGACTTCTTCCGTATCAAGTATTTAAAGACTTTTTGAAGTTTATTTGCTAAAAAATCTTTTACTCAATTATATATTGCTTTGAAATCAACTTTATCATAATAATACTACCAAGCGATGTTTTTTTATTATGCTCTTTGGTATTAAAGAACTTAACAAATTATGGAAGAAGACATTTAAAACTGTCATGTTTTCTGGGACGCCCTTTATCTTAATATCTTAGGTGAAGGGGAAATTTTGCATTTCGAAATAGAAGTAAACTTAATAAATAATCGGACTTGTGATGCAATAAACTTTTCACATTTTTTGAAGCCAAACAACCATAGAGAATAGAATATATATTATAAAGGGGAATTTACTAGAAAAAAGTGTAAAACGGCCATTTTGTTGTACTGTTTCCATACTGCAGGTGTACTTCACATATTTATGCTATATAATCTATATAACTCAGAAAATAAAAATATTCTGTCTGACATTTTTTAAGCCAAAAAAGTTTTTTGTTTGTTTTCAAGTAATGCTAATACATTAAAAAAAATAAAGAAGATAATACTGATTACACTGTTCTCCGGTAATCATAGTTTAAAACTAATCTTTTATGCAGTTAAACCCTAAATAAGCCATACATAGAAAGAATTCATGGCTATTCATTTATTTTTACAAATCTGAGATTTACGTAAAATAGGATAAACATTTTATAAATTCTTTCAATGTATGGCTCATTGAGGGGTTACCTGTATATAAAGTTGTAATCTCTGTTTGGGTGTTTGTTTGTTTGTTTTTACGATCATAACTCAAAAACCCCTTGATCGATTTGCCTCAAATTTTGATTAGGAAACTGGGGAGGACCACGGAAATGTTCTAAGCTTTTTTTTTAGATTCTAAGTTGAGTGGGTCGACTTTTATCGGGAAAAATAGTTAAAATCGTAATTTATGACAAAGTACGGGTAATCAGTGGGACTAACTATGACCCCCTGTGCGACGCTGGGTTCCCAAGCTAGTTTCATCAAATATTAGGATATACTAGATATTCCTATATATATATATATATTTAAATGCATATACAGTTTAACCCAGAACTTCGGAGAAAGCGAAAGAATTTATAAAATGTCGTTTTTAAAACCTACTGATAATGGAATACTGCAGATATTTTATTATTAGATATAGTTTAAATTGCACCCCGCGACTGACGGGTTTCCCAAGGCTCTAGCACCCTCGTACGTAAAGCGATCCGACTGGAACAGCAGAGAGCCTGCCTGTACGGGCATTTTCACAAGTTTAAATTGAATATTTATACAAAGCTTCTTAAAACTGTTCCCGCGAAGACGACATTTTATAAATTCTAAATGTCTCCGCAGTTCTGGGTTAAAGTGGTGAATTTGGTTTTTTTCATCTTTTGTCTGTTTATTTAAAGTTTATACCAATTTTTATTGTTTCATCTTTCTTGACCCATTGACCGTTGAAGGTTTATGGCCAGTCGAAATTAAAAAACTTTCCCGAGAAAAAAGTTGTTTAACATTTTTTTGGAAATCCATTCAAAATTCTTTTCAAGTATTTTAGTTTTACCGTGAACAAAAAACGCGACTTGAAGAAAACCTTTAAAGCTAAGATTGTTAGCATAAAAAGAGATATAAAGGGATCTGAAGGCTAGTATTACATGGCTCCTGGGTTAAAAATAGTATTTTCAAATAAGAAAAAAAGTTATAATTTTTATTTTCTTATGTTGCTTAAAATGCATATACATTACACAATAAATGCAAATTACTGTAAATATTGATTTTAAAACAACATAATAACAAAATTCAGAGATAAAACAAAGGGAAACTGAAATGACAGCATAAAATCAAAAACAATGTTTATTTTGTGATTTTTTGAAGAAATTTGGAAATGTATAGTTACAGGATTGTTTGAAATTATGGAAAAAAAACTCTTTAGTAAATTACAACTTACAAAATTAATACATATCTAAATACATATACAATACACATATTATGCATAATTTTCACAAAGTTTTATTTTCATATCTTCTTATCATTTTTGTCATTTCTGCTTTTTTACACACATAAAAGGATGAATAAGATTTGGCAAGGAAAAAAAATACATGATGTATGTTAGAACCAAATGTAAGAAAAAATTATTTGTTTTTTAGTGTTTTTTAGTGTTTTTTTTCACTTTAAAAACTTAAACATGTTGGTCCTTGAGGTTTTAAATTGTTAAAAAAATTATCAGATTTGCACAGTCTTGTTCTCAGAAACTTAATATCTGGGCTTTACAATAGTTTTGAACGGAATTGGAAGAATGGATGCACCAGGTACGTATGTTTCAGGAGGAACTGTTCCACTTATCTCAGGCATAAAACTAAACTGCTGGAGAAGAGCAGTGAAGAAAAGAAAGTATTCAGTCTTGGCTAAAGTTTCCCCAAGGCATCTGCGTTTACCTATTGAGAAGGGAATGAGACGTTCCTCTGATTTCAGTTTTCCAGATTCATCGAGAAATCTTTCAGGACGAAATACGAGACCATCACCCCAATAATCACCTTTCATTATTTCACTCATGCAAGGAGAGATCATAGTATTAGCAGGTATAGTTACTCCATTTATCTGGATAGATCTGCTTGCCATGTGCTGTACACCCATGGGTACAATATTGCCACATCGTTGAATTTCCATTAGAACTGCTTCCGTATAAGGAAGCTGTGATCGATCTGATAGACTTGGAAGTCTGGAGGTACCTACCACCTTATCTAGCTCTGCTTGAACCCTACTCTGAATTTCCGGTTCTCTGATCATATACAGCACTGCCCAAGTCAACGTCGTCGATGTTGTCTCTGATCCTGCAACAAATAGTTCAAGCATTGTGTTTACAAGGTTATTATATCCCTTATTCTGATAGAAGCTTGATGTTTCATCTTTGGTGTTCTGAATTTCAATCAGCATTGTATCAATCACATCTTTAGGTGAGTTAACATCTAGAGTTAACTTATGCTGTTCTATGCAATTATTCATCATGAGCATAATTTCCCTCATAAATTCTATATCTTTGTTACGATTCAGCAACGTTGGAAATATTTTAAAAAGCCAGGGATAGTTTAGAACCAAAACGGTGGATGGACTTCCAAATCTTCTGGCAAATTCTCCAAGATCATTCAAGAGCTTTTCAAGTTTAGGATCAGTGTACTCAAAACTCTCTCCCACCATTATCTTCCAAAGAGCATTTAAAATTGGCAAGTTAAATTTTCTTGCAATATCAACAGGTGTGTTGGTATAGTTCTTGAGGTAGAAGATAAAATGCCGGATCTCATCATGTATTGTTTCCTCCATGCTGGATTTTCCAAATCCAAAATCTCGAAGTGTCTTGAGGGTAAATCTTCTCTGTTCTACCCAGGTCCTTCCTTGGCTAAAAATAACTCCAGTAAGGGGACCCGGAGGGTCTCCACGGTCTTCATTAAACTTTTGAATAAAGTTACATTTTCTAAAATCAACATGACCTCGATTTGCCACGTCTGGGTTGTTGAAGAGCTCCTTGAGCACGTTAAAATCACCAACTATAACATTGTTCATACTGAACACATTGAGAAGCATGACACCTTGCTTTGAATACTGCTTGTAAAGGTTCCATATTCCCTTGATATTGTCTGAACCCTGCAGAAACAGTTTGTAGTGTCCCAGTAGTGGGATGCATAAACCTGGACCCGGCAGATCAACCCGTTCTTTCCGGGACAATCTGTCATTAAAGATATCATTGTAATTTAACCAACCATAAACTTAGTCAGACTAGGCTTTTAGGGCGCTTCGCGCCCATCTTCTATTTAAATTGTGAACTTGTTCGTTTTGTTTACATTTTAAACACAAAGAAGAAAAATTTTTTGCGGATTTTTAACAAAACAATCTGCAGATTTTAAAGAATTTAATTTTTTACAAAATTAAAAACCTTTAAAACACATTTTTTTAAAAATTTTATCATTCATAAACCTTCCCTGTGGTCACATGATGTCCCCCAAAAAAGTTGGGCCCGATCGGTTCAGCCGTTTTGACGTTTATTTGATACAAACAAACAGACAGACAGACAAGCCAAATTTATATATAGAAGTCAGAATTTTTTTTTGTGAATCCCAGGATCAAGTACAAAGATCTTATTTAAATCTATATATTGGATACCAAGATCAAGCATTAAAGAATAATGATACGCAACATTTTCCGTAAAACTAAGCAATAGATTTAATTCTTTAAAAGGATTATTCACCTTTTTTTTTGTAAATACACATATTACCCTAATTTTTAAGTTCAGGATAAAAATATTATATGCTCAAAATGTTCCTTATAGTCTGAATAATCAAAACTTAAAGAGCTTCATTCAGAACTAATGCTTAATTTAGTGGTTTAATAGCTTTTTTTTCAATTTTTTTTCTTCAATGAAAGCACGGAGAACGGGTAGGTTAAAATGTTTGTTTGTTCATAAGATAACAAAAATGATAAAAGTCGTAGAAAAACTTAACTTAGCTAAAATTGTTTGTTTTAAAATCTCAATAACGCTTGATGAGATCAGATGATTTAATAAATTTACAAAATGCTGTGATTTACGTCTTTAATAACATCACCCTTTAAACTTATATCTGAGTAACAATGAGAAAGATATTTGATATTTGTTGTTCTAAATGACTATGAATTCTGATAATTTCAATCATCGTCTCTCCAGCATAAATCTGCAATTGTCACTTTATCCCGCGAAACCACAATTGAAAATAATAACTTTTTAGATGAAATTTATGATTTATGATCAGAGAAAAGGTACTAGGTTACTGTTTTTAATCGTATATGCCACTTTTCAAAAAGAGAATCACTTGAAGTTACGTGAACCGTCCCTTTAAACAGAAATATTTTATTAAAAAGATCCTATTTTCCCATGTTTTTAATTGATATCTATTCCTGTAGTAAAGAAGAGAAAGTAGAGTGAGTAAACACAGAAAAATCCACATTTTCAGATTTTAAAACTTTAAGATAACACAAAATTTTTGAGATTACACATTCAGTAGACACGTTCAAACTTTGAGCAAAAATGCGCCTATTTCGGAACTTGTATACATTTTATACTTGACTAGCAGGGTTTCATTTAATATAAGTTCAGATGGTGGGAATAAGCAAAATAGTTATATTGAAGTTGTTCACCCGGGAATTTAGACTTACATAACTTAAATATTTCTCGTTGTTCAATCTCATCCCTAGATATTTTCTTACGCAAACTAGTACTCTATGGTCTTACTAGGCTAGCAAAATAGTTATATTGAAGTTGTTCACTCGGGAATATAGGCTTCGTACTTACATAACATAAATATTTCTCGTTGTTCAATCTCATCCCCAGATATTTTCTTACGCATACTAGTACACTATGGTCTTACTAGGCTTTTAGGGTGCTTCGCGTCCAACTACTATTTTAACTTTTAATTTCTCTTCTATTCTGTGAACTTCTTCTCTTTGTACAATATAAAACAAGAAAAAAAAAGTTCGCTGATTTAATAATATTTTTAGTTAAACTAAAAAAATTTACGAAAATCAAAAAGTTTCGAAGACATTTTTGTAATTCTAAGCATCCAAAAACCTTACCCGGGGTCATGTGAGGTCCCACAAAAAAATTCGGTCCATTCAGTTTAGCATATTTTGACGTTTATCGGTTACAAACAAACACACAGACAAACAAATTTAATAGATAAATTTAGACTCAAGGGCCTTGACAATTGACATGATATGTATTATCTTTTTTTACTGAATTTAGTCTACAATGATATTTCTAAAAATAATATTACGAAAAAAGTATTATAAAATTGAACAAACAAAAACACTTGAAAGTTATGTTTTTTAAATAATTTTACGTTAATCTATGGAAAAGTAACCTAAAGATAATTTAAATATTATGGAGGACAAATGTTATGAAGGACAAATGTAATGAAGGACAAATATTATGAAGGACAGATGTTATGGAGGACAAATGTTATAAAGGACAAATGTTTTGAAGGACAAATGTCATGGAGGACAAATGTTATGGAGGAGAAATGTTTTGAAGGACAAATATTATTGAGAACAAATGTTATTGGAGACAAATATTATGGAGGACAAATTTTATGGAGGACAAATGTTTTAGAGGACAAATGTTTTGAAGGACAACTGTTTTTAAGGACAGATATTATGGAGGACAAATGTTATGGAGGACAAATAATATTGAGGACAATTGTTATGGAGGACAATTATTATGGAGGATAAATGCTATGGAGGACAAATGTTATAGAGGACAAATGTTATAGAGGACAAATGTTATGGGGGACAAATATTATGGAGGACAAATGTTATGGAGGAAAAATGATGTATAGGACAAATTCTCAAGGTGGTAAAAGAATTTAATCCAAAGGAGTTGATACAATGTAAATCACAATTCCATTTAAACTTCAAAATGTTTCCCGCAATTAAACAAAGATATTTTGCTTTAGATTAAATTACATTTTTTATTTAAAATCCTACACAGTGATAAGAATGTCAAAGTCCAAAACTGCTAAAGTACATTTGTTTATTTAACAATGGGTAAAATAAAAATAATAATATAATAACAAATAAAGTTCACGAATATGATTATAATTTTTTTCCGCATTTTCAAAACTGAAATTTTTTTTTGTAATTTTTAAAATTTTCTTCATATTTACTGTTTTTCTTTTCCTTCATAGTAACTGTGTTTCTTTTTCTTCATGGTAACTGTTCTTCTTTTCTTCATAGTAACTGTTTTTTTCTTCATAGTAACTGTTTTTCTTTTTCTTCATAGTAACTGCTTTTCTTTTTATTCATAGTAACTGTTTTTCTTTTCCTTCATATTAACTGTTTTTCTTTTTCTTCATATTAACTGTTTTTCTTTTCCTTCATAGTAACTGTTTTTCTTTTTCTTCATAGTAACTGCTTTTCTTTTTATTCATAGTAACTCCTTTTCTTTTTATTCATAGTAACTGTTTTTTTTCTTCATAGTAACTGTTTTTCTTTTTCTTCATAGTAACTGCTTTTCTTTTTATTTATAGTAACTGTTTTTCTTTTCCTTCATATTAACTGTTTTTCTTTTTCTTCATATTAACTGTTTTTCGTTTCCTTCATAGTAACTGTTTTTCTTTTTCTTCATAGTAACTGCTTTTCCTTTTTTTCATAGTAACTGCTTTTCTTTTTTTTCATAGTAACTGTACTTTTCTTTGTCATCATTCTAACTGTTTTTCTTTTCTTCATAGTAACTGTTTTTCTTTTCTTCATAGTAACTGTTTTTCTTTTCTTCATAGTAACTGCTTTTCTTTTTATTCATAGTAACTCCTTTTCTTTTTCTTCATATTAACTGCTTTCATAGTAACTCCTTTTCTTTTTATTCATAGTAACTATTTTTCTTTTTCTTCATAGTAACTGTTTTTCTTTTCCTTCATAGTAACTGTTTTTCTTTTTCTTCATGGTAACTGTTCTTCTTTTCTTCATAGTAACTGTTTTTTTTTCTTCATAGTAACTGTTTTTTTTCTTCATAGTAACTGCTTTTTTTTTTATTCATAGTAACTGTTTTTCTTTTCCTTCATATTAACTGTTTTTCTTTTTCTTCATAGTAACTGCTTTTCTTTTTATTCATAGTAATTCCTTTTCTTTTTCTTCATATTAACTGCTTTTCTTTTTATTTATAGTAACTCCTTTTCTTTTTATTCATAGTAACTATTTTTCTTTTTCTTTATAGTAACTGTTTTTCTTTTTCTTCATAGTAACTTTTTTCTTTTCTTCATAGTAACTGTTTCTTTTCTTCATAGTAAATTTTTGTCTTTTCTTTATAGTAACTGTTTTTTTCTTCATAGTAACTGTTTTTCTTTTTCTTCATGACTATTTTCATTTCTTCATAGTAACTGTTTTTCTTTTTCTTCATAGTAACTGTTTTTCTTTTTCTTCATAGTAACTGCTCTTCTTTTTCTTCATAGTAACTGTTCTTCTTTTCTTCATAGTAATTGTATTTTTTCTTCATAGTAACTGCTTTTCTTTTTATTCATAGTAACTATTTTTCTTTTTCTTCATAGTAACTATTTTTCTTTTTCTTCATATTTACTATTTTTCTTTTTCTTCATAGTAACTGTTTTTCTTTTTCTTCGAAGTAACTATTTTTATTTTTCTGCATAGTAACTATTTTTATTTTTCTTCATAGTAACTATTTTTCTTTTTTTTGGTCTATATTATAAAACAAGACACTCGTATTTATGTTCCCTGTAGCCGGCCAAACGACTGAACCGAATGGGCTGACTTTTTTTGGACACTTATAGTCAGCCAATTAATGACATAGTTTAAAAAATTCGAAATTAAAAAAAAAAATTCCTGGGCAACGCCGGGCCCTCCTTCGCCCCCCACCCCCCCTCCTCTCAGCGTACCAAGTTGCGCTTCTGTCAGTGACCCCAGCTGCCTTTGTAAGATCCATGCAACAATACTTGTCATAGGCAGCATGCATATTGCCGTTTACAGAGTGTTCTGATAAACATTAACATCAGATATTTTATTTTAAAACACATTTGACAGATTACTGCGAAGCACTAAATGCCATACTTTAATATTCTTAATCGGCCTTAAAGGGTCTGTAAGGGTAATTTAAAGTGACCTTCAAAGCAAAATTGTCAATGTCTGATTCACAAATGTATCCTTCAAACCTTTTCTCGTCAAGTATTAATAGATATTTATGTGTATAATTTGGAAAACTTATCATTTTCAAGTGTGGTTTCTATGCAAAACTTGCGCATTTCTACTGCAGGAAAACATATAGAAACCAAAATAATTTAACACTTTAAACCTAGAAAACGACGAAATGTTCCAGATTATTGATCAGATTTAGGCATCAAGGGAAATTATGTAAATGTCATCTTTGTATTGAGGGTCACTTGAAATTACAGTTTTAAGTCAACCTTTAAACTTTTCACAGATTTCTCTCTCTTTTTATATGTTTTTTTTCAACTTTATTGTATATCTACCAATTTAGAAAACCTTAACACACATTTTGTAATTATTTGTAAAATAATTGGAAACCCTGTTTTCCCCCGCATTTTCTTGTTTAGTTTGTTACGGTTTAGTTAGCCCATTGGCTCTAGGGTTTAATTTACACCTTGGTAGTTGCTACTTGAGATATCCAGGGGGAGGAAGGTTGTGGTATACCAATCCAACCTTCCTTTCCCCGGATAGATTCATTAATAGACTCGTCCGAATTGAATAGGAAAGGCCAAGGGAAAGGCCTTGAGAGGTTGAAATCTTATTATAAAATGTATTTTGTTTAGCTTTTATATCTCTTATCTTTTCTCCAGATGCACAACTATATGTAGCTTTAGAGGGGGGGGGGGGNAAATTAAATGTTATATTTTCTAACACAGTTTACAAAAATTTATGATTTATATTTTTCAACAACTTTTTCTTAAATTCTTTTGATATTCTTCTAGCTTCTTTTTTTACACTGTATATTTTACTGCATTTGTTCCTTGTAAGTCCCCCCTCCAAAAAAAAGTCTAAAGTCCCCCCCCCCCCCCGTCTAGTAAATATGCCCTTGCATTTATTCTCTATTATAAAGGTCCAGTATGAGTGAAACAATATGACCTTCTCTATATATATATGTATAATGTAAATCGAAAGTCACAAAGTGTAAAACCTTGAAGTACTGTGCAACAAAAGGACCTTGGAATATGGGAGGAAGTATAATTACTGCACTGTACCACTGTGCCACTATACCACTGTATCATTGTGCACGTACTGTACTGCTTTACTACTGAAAAATTGCACTGCTGTACTTCTGTACTACTTGTACTACTGTACAAATGTACTACTGTACTACTGTACTACTGTACTACTGTACTACTGTACTACTGTACTACTGTACTACTGTACCACTGTACTACTGTACTACTGTCCACTGTAATACTGTACTACGGTACTACTGCACTACTGTACTACTGTACCACTGTACAATTATACTACTGTACCACTGTACCACTGTACCAATGTACCACTGTACCACTGTACTACTGTACTACTGTCCTGCCGTTCCACTGTACCACTCTACTACTGTACCACTGTACCACTGTACCACTGTACTATTGTACTACTGTACCACTGTACTACTGTACTACTGTACTACTGTACCACTGTACCACTGTACTACTGTACTACTGTACTACTGTACTACTGTATTACTGTACTTATGTACCACTGTACTACTGTACCACTGTATTACTGTACTACTGTACCACTGTACTACTGTACTACTGTAATACTGTACTACTGTACTACTGTACCACTGTACCACTGTACTACTGTACTACTGTACTACTGTACTACTGTACTACTGTACTGTCCTGCCGTTCCACTGTACCACTCTACTACTGTACCACTGTACCACTGTACCACTGTACTATTGTACTACTGTACCACTGTACTACTGTACTACTGTACTACTGTACTACTGTACTACTGTACTACTGTACTACTGTACTACTGTAATACTGTACTACTGTACTACTGTAATATTTGACCTTTAATTCAGATTTTTATGAATAGATTAAAATATTTTTTGGATGGGGTGCAGTTATTGCTCTCAAAATAAAGATTTTTTATAAAATCTATTCCGGTTGGGGGGGGGGGGGGGGAGGGGGTCCCTGGACCTCTCCTGACGTTTTTTGGATGATAACCCCAAAAGTATTAGTCTGAGGCTGTTCAAACTTTTGGACTTTTCTAACTAACACATGCCCCTCACTTTTAGACTTAAAACAGGTCCTCAGGCATACTTTTTTTAGCTCTTTGGAAAGCCTTAAACAAAAGGAAGCAGATCGCACAATTTTTGTGAAGAAATTTTGCATAGATTTTTGTGTATAAATGTATAATTTATCATATTTCCCGCACTTTTTGTTTTTGCATATTTTTTGCTTAATAGCTTGATATTGCAATAAATATTTTAAATTTAGTAAATTTGCATTTTTTTTAAAAGATTATTTAAGTGGAGCCCAATGGCTTTCCAAAGAAGTATCAAATGTTATAGATTTTACCACAACAAGGATATAGAGGGGGGAGTATCCCTGGGACCCCCCCCCCTCAACTATTTTTATTAAACCAGACGTCAGTCTGAAAAGGATTAAAATCCTGTTAACACATTTTTCCCTTCCGCTCCCAGCTGGTCATGGTTTCACATAAAAATCACCAAATTGGAACTGTACCACTTTACAACTTTAATCCATTAGGCACGAGTTTTAGTTTATTTTCAAACATAAATTGTAAAGTGTAATTATGTGTACAGTCCCTTTAGGGCTATCTATATCTAATATTCTATTGTCCAGCTAAAACAAACCAACGAGGGTGTTTATTAATTGATCCTAGCAACTATATAGTCCATACCTCCAGGACCTTTCCTTCCTACATACTCATATTGTTTAGTTTTACCAACCTAGTCTTTTATCATACTCAGACAGCTAGTATTCTAACTAGTAATAGTCTTTAACAAATATCAATTTTAGCTCCTCATTGGTGATACATTTACACATTTTTATTCTTGAGAGAAGGACAAAAATAATTTAGTGGATATTCCTGTTTTGATTAGTAAATTTCTATTATCAGAAAAAATACATCTTTTTATCTAAATGCTTCAGCCGTTTACAGAATTACTTGTACGACTTTGCAACCTTTTAACTTTCTATTTACACTCCCATATATAAAAAACCTTTACTTTTTTGGTTGCAAGGAAGAATTTAAGAATTTGTTTCAGTCGTTATAATAGCTCTTTAAAACAAGTTTTATTTAAAAGCATACAAAATCAAATGAACATTTGATGATTTAGTATTTATAAGAGGGGGTTTCTTCTGTTATAATAGATTACTTCTTAAAATATATTTGTATTTGTTAATAATATTCATAACTTCATAATATTTACTTTTTCGGCTTTGTCCCTTTATAAAAACTAAACAGGTTTAATTTCAAGTTATTTCAACCTGAGTTTAGATTTATTGAACTAAAGAGATGAAGTTCAAATATATCTTTCCAGTTCACATCTCAATTTTGAAATATATCTTTCCAGTTCACATCTCAATTGTGAAATATATCTTTCCAGTTCACATCTCAATTGTGAAATATATCTTTCCAGTTCACATCTCAATTGTGAAATATATCTTTCTAATTCACATCTCAATTGTGAAATATATCTTTCCAGTTCACATCTCAATTGTGAAATATATCTTTCCAGTTCACATCTCAATTGTGAAATATATCTTTCCAGTTCACATCTCAACTGTGAAATATATCTTTCCAGTTCACATCTCAATTGTCAAAAAGGAGCGCGCACATGGAGATACATGTTGGATACTTATAATACCGATCAATTGAACCCGATATTTATATTGGACACTTTAGATTTGTGGATCAATGCTTAATCTATTCATTTCAGTTCTCCCTTCAGGGTAAACAATAGTGCAGGATATCGAATTAAGAATAAATTAATCTGCAGATTAACCAAGGATCAAAATCAAGCGATGATATCGATATCCACAATATAAGAGTTCCAACCTCAGTTCAATTTATTCTCAAATAATTTTTGCACTTCATGAAATCCGATCAGTTGCTCGGATCTTATGATCTTTCTCTGTGATAACAACATAAAAAAGTACATATTTTCATTTTTAAATTACAAAATCAGTTTTGTCTGAAAATATTTTATCTATTTTTAATAATGTTTTCTCAGTACCTCCTTGTTGTGCAAATTATATCATTTGTTTTTTCTTCCTTGGAAATAAAAAATTTTATTATGTTTCAGAAATCTTGGGCTGAATAGTAGACATACATGTGAAGCGTTATCTTAATTGATTAAAATGTAAGTTTTTTATTTAAGAAATTTCTGCTTTTGTTCGTAATACATACATCGAATAGATTTTAAAAATATGAACATTAGGTATGAAATTAGGAAAATTTTGTTAGAAATTATGAACATTATGTTAGAAATTACGAACATTTTGTTACAAAGACGAACATTTTGTTAGAAAATACGAACATTCCGTTAAAATACGAACATTTTGTTAGAAAGTACGAACAATTTGTTAGAATTTATGGATATTTTGTTAGAAAATACAAAACGAACATTTTGTTGGAAATTACGAACATTTTGTTTGAAAATACGAACATTTTGTATAAAATTACAAACATTATTTAAATGTATGGATTTAAAATTTTTAAGATGTACTTATCGTTTCGTTCCTACAGGGTGTCCCAAAAAACATGGGAATTCAGTGACGAATTCGATATCGTCTTTTCAAATAATTCTTTGATTTAGTTTAGTGATACCTACTGAGAAAGCTGTAATCTGTAAGAGTTTGGTCTGCTAAGTTTACATTTTGTTTGTTTATGTTTTGACTGCATACAGTTGTACTTAGTAAAACAAGAAAATTGCAGTATGCAAACAGAGTAAACTTGTCTGTCTTCACTGTTCATCTTGCGGAGACATTACAGACACATCTTTACAGTCTTTTACCCTTTTCATAAAATAAGCTCTAGCAGACATAATAATATTATGGCTTTTGAAATTAGGTATTACAATGCTAATTCATAACAAAGACGATATCAAATTCGTCACTGAATTCCCATGTTTTTTGGGACACCCTGTAGATTCATATTTTGTACACTACAGAGGCTGGCATGCACTCATTATGTATATTATGTATATTATTAGCATTGTAATACCTAATTTCAAAAGCCATAATATTATTATGTCTGCTAGAGTTTATTTTATGAAAAGGGAAAAAGACTGTAAAGATGTGTCTATAATGACTCCGCAAGATGAACAGTGAAGACGGACAAGTTTACTCTGTTTGTATACTGCAATTTTCAAATTTTACTAAGTACAACCGTATGCAGTCAAAACATAAACAAACAAATTTTGAACATAGCAGACGAAACTCTTACAGATTACAGCTTTCTCAGTACTCAGTAGGTATAAATATACTAAATCAAAGAATTATTTGAAAAGACGATATCGAATTCGTCACTGAATTCCCATGTTTATTGGGACACCCTGTATGTGTACTGTACGAACTCCACTTCCTCTTGGAGTCGAGGTTTCGTGAGATAAGTTTATATCTGTGTCCATGTCACAGGGGCTAGTAAGCTCTGTATGTTTTTCATGTACTTCATGTAATTCGTCACTGAATTCCCATGTTTATTGGGACACCCTGTATGTGTACTGTACGAACTCCACTTCCTCTTGGAGTCGAGGTTTCGTGAGATAGTTTATATCTGTGTCCATGTCACAGGGGCTAGTAAGCTCTGTATGTTTTTCATGTACGGGCTGGTCAGCTCTATATGTATTTCATGTACACTGTACAGGGGCTGGTGTGCACTGACAGGTCCCTGCTGTTGTGGCCCTTGTGAGACAAGGGTTACAAAAGGTACATTTTATTCATTTTAAGAGTGGTAATTCTATTCAAGAAAACCTAGAAAATGGAGAAACTTTTATAATGAGAACAACAGTCTTGTATGAAAAACGCTTCCATTAAAAAAAAATCTAAAACATGCAAAAAACCGTTAAGAATTTGACTTATTATTTATTTATATTACATCTACAGCCTTTTTCAACGAAATCTAACAAAATATTTTATGTTTTGGTTATACTGTATAATTCAACATTTTGGGGAGAAAGGTTAAAATTAACCTTGTTTCAAAACGTGAAATAAATAAAAAGTTTATTTAATTATAGATTGACATGGATTTTAGTCGCTGTATAACATACATGGAAAAAGTGGAAATAAATGCTTAAAGGAGCTCTCTACGAAATATAGATCCTTTAATTAAAGAACAGAAAAGGAGTATGAATCGGATATGCAAATCTTTTATTAAGGGACACTTGAAATTTCGTTGACATTCCCTTTAAGTATTTATTTCATCTAACCCAGAATAAAATTCCCTCATTTTTGTTTGAAATAAAAAATTTTTTTCTATACTTTAGGGAGCGAGATTGTTTTTTTGTTGAACACAGGGATATCAGTTATAGGAGCTGTTTTTAGTTTAATTCTATATCACACCATGAATGCTTTTCTCGTAGGTAAATTCGAAGGATCAAATATAACTTCTCTAATCACTTTTTTCAGTCTAATGATGTAAACCTTCGATATTTCAAAATTAAATTATTTAATCTGCAGGAATTTATAGTTTGAAATATCTAAGGTCTACGACATTGTGTTGCGAAGATATAAGGATTAAAAAATTACAGTTTGCGAAAAAGACTCTTTTAGTTTTCTAATTCCTAGATAAATCTTTTTCATCTAAAGCATGTATTCTTTGTTTATAACTTGACATACCAAAATTCATATTTTGAAAATTTGAGTATTGGTGCCTTTAGTTTTTCTTCAGGAATTCAATGGATCATAATAATAGCCTCAAACCTAAATTTTCAAATATCTATATCTTTTTAACCTAGAACAGAATACAGCTGTGATATTTCTAAAATTTAAATTATATTATTCTTTGAAATTTTTGGGAGAAATTTCAGTTTAAATAAACTTCAAAATAGTATTTTCATCTAATATTATAAAGGACAAAGGAGCAAATAATCAAGATATCGTTAAAATTGTCCATTTTACATTGGATTTTTATTTAGAATATTTTTACAATGAAATATTTTAAAAATTTCAGGAATTCTCTTCACAATAATGTTGAGCACCAATCTCATTGGGGCAATTGGAATCAAAAAGGTACTTTTAGAAAATCCAACTTAATTTTTTACTAATTCTATTTAATTGAATTAATCAACTACCAAAGAGAAAAGGAATATAATTAGAATAAAAATTTACTAGAAAAAAGTGTAAAACGGCCATTTTGTTATACTGTTTCCATACTGCAGGTGTACTTCACATATTTGTGCTATATAACCTTTTGGGCCCTGGAATATCATTTTAAAGTTAATATAAAAGAAAACCAAATTATGAAATAGGCTGGTTTCATAATTGACCAATGATCATTTCACATAGACTCTATTGCCTTTCACTTTCCAAACGATGATTTTCCGTTATAACTTTAAATCAAATGATGCTTTTTATTCACCTAATTCATTTTATAAAGTTTATTTAATAGCTTTAAAAAATTAGAAATTGAAATGGATAGTGTAGGGAACATACTGTATTAATGTACTCTACTGCACATAATTTGTGAACATTTACATGATTTGTACACTTTGAACTCCCTTTCAGGCTGAAAGGGACTGACAAAATTCATACCAAAGGATTTTCTAAATTCCACTCTAATATATATTCTATTCTCTTTGTAAATTACCCTATTAGATACGTCTTACAGCCAGAAAGATGCATCTCCTCTTATCTCTTAAAAACAATTAGTTTAGATATTTTTCTGAGTAAATATTGAATTTTCATGCATTGATAATATAAAATTGTTTTTAAATTAGAAGAATCACACACTGTCTGCAACCGGACTAAAACGATCCAATAATTCTTAGAAAATACCTTTCGCATTTTTCCAAGAAAAAACAGGGTTCTAGCAAATTTCGTAGGTTTATTAATGAAATAATATGATAAATATTTTAAGATAATTTGTTTATTAGTCTAACTCGTTTCTCCCGGTTCCTGCAACTTGGAGAGCAAACGCCAAATTTAGGTCAGCATTTAAGATTTTAATAATTCCATTTAAAAAAACATATTGTGTTTATCATGTCTTCACATCTTCATATACATATATCTAATTGTGTCAATTAAATAATTTGAAGTCAAAATTTTTGTGTTGTGGATCTCGGAATCCCATGCAGATCTATTTAATTTCTCTTGAATATCCCGTGATAGTTATACCATACCTTGTAGTGAAAACTTTTATTGAGGGATTAAAAGTACCCACATCGGATATCGAGATCAAGCATTCAAGATTAACTAAAACCAATATACACATTCTGACATATGGACATACATCTAAATGTAAAAATGTGATTTTTTTGTCAAAATGATTTTTGCTTTTGGATTTTTATGAAAATCCGAGGAAGGAGGGGGGGGGGGGGGAGTGAAATCTTCTCCTCCTCCTCCCAGACCCAAATACTCATGAGGTTGTGGACTTGAATCCAAGTTTTTTTTGGCATATATGAAGATTTTATTTTTATTTTTTATTGATGATCTTAAAGTAAATTTTTATTTCTAATGTTATTCCAGGGATCGAAGCCAGCATTTACTGTTAGTTCCCTGGATCCTGGTGTATGGTATTCTCACAACATTTATCATTCTCATCTTCGTTCCTGTATCAGTACTCTGTATCACAAAGTAATTATCTATAATATTTGATTGGGTGTTTGTTTGGGTGTTGATTTGCTTGTTTGTAGTTTTGATTAGTTTGTTTCTATATTTGTTTGTTGGTTGGTTTGCTAAGTTTTTTCAACATATTTTTTCAAAACTTTATGTTTAAGTCTTTTTTATTAATGACACCAAACTGGTCCGAAGTTTATAGTATTGTAATAATTAATATTTTCACGTTTCTCTTCATGTGTTTTCCTTATCAATAATTCAGTTAATAAAGACAAGGTCGCCAGATTAATCATATCAATAATATTAATTATTAATTTTATATTTCTTAGAAATTAGACTTAAAAAATAATCCCATTTACTGCGTAGTGGCTCATGTGAACTTTTAGATCGTTAAAATCACTGAAAAATGTGGTTATAAGTAGAACTGGGTGTCGTTGACAGGAAACGGTCGTTTTATTTGACGACCTTATCGTTAACAAACGGCTGCTACTGTTCTAAATCATAAAGAGAAAGAATGAAACGGGAATGGAACGATTGAGAAAAGAACAAACGATGAAGGAACGATCCAGATTAAGGCCTTCTCTAAGGAACTAACGATTTGAAAAATTGGAACGTGCCCCGCCCTATTTATGAGTATAGATAATAAGGATAAATTAATATGTTTTAAGTAGTTATTTTTTTTTCCGTTTTTTAGGAAGTTTTGTAGCACCCTTACCACAAGTTAGAGTTCCAAAAATGGCAATAAAAAATGTTTATATATAAAAACTTTCCTTGATCTCAACTCTATGGTCAAAAAAGTGTGGGGGGAGTGTGGGTTGACAAATACCTGCCCAACCGCGGGATTTGGTCAAATTTATAACATTTTCAAGTATTAATGCAATAAAGTAATGCCTCATGAGATTTTTTTTCCAAATGACATATTCCAAAATTTTAATAACTTCTAAGAGAGAATATCGTTTAAGGACATTTGGGATAATTGGGAAATTTTCTTTGGGAAAAAGCTAGCTTAAGAAAATGCATCCTTCACCAAAATACCTTTAGGAAATTATTAAAGATCATACAATGAACATAAAATATATGGGACCATGCATGGACTTCCATCTTTAAAAGAATGCTCTTTCAAATAATTTAAACAGTTATAAAATCCTCTAATACCAGCAAGAAGATTTAAATTAATGGAACTTTCAACTGTTAGACCAGTAATGTTGTTTACTGTATTACCATGTGAGAAAGGACAATATAGGACTAGACAGACAAGAAGTTTTTTAGATGTGAAAGTGAGAGAACGTATTGATTAGATACAAAACCATGGCCTACAGAAGAACATGTCAACCTTCCTGAACATGAACTCTAAAATCTATAAGCGTTAGCGTATTAGAGAAGGTTTGGGACCTTGGGAGAAGTTTACTTGAAGTACGAGAATCTAAATACATTAAAGATTTTATGACTGAACTCAGAAGAATGAACAGACAATTTTTTATTTAATTGTAAACTGTAATTAAGTATTTAAAAAAATAGTATTGTTTTTGAATTTTGGCCAATTCTTCAAAAGGTTTAAATATCCCTCCTTAAGCAAGCCGCTACCCTGCCCCTCCCCCGTTTACGTAAAAGGTTCTTAATTAGATCGACCCCCACCACCACTTTATACACTTTTCATGGCAGAAACAATCTCAAGGAATAATAATTGTCTTAAAACATTCTTTAAAATGTGAATATTTGCAAATTATCTTTTCATTTCATGATCTGTGTTCGTTTCCCTTTTGTCCATTTGACGGCCCAATTTTCTAATTATTCTTTTTTGTTTGTTTATTTTCTTATGAGTGTTAACATTTTTTACTTTCGATTTTGGTGGTTATCGTTAGAACTGACGAGGGTCAACCCAAATCGAAATAAAGTTTCCATAAGAGGTGGACCTAACATCTACTTCACAGTTCAGGGATTCTAATATTATAGGACTGTTCAGGGATTTTAATATTATAGGTTTTAATAGTCTAGGACAGTGATATTAATATATTATGACTGTTCATTGATTTTAATATTTTAGGAATGTTCTCTGATTATAATATTTTAGGACTGTTCAGATTTTAATATTTAAGGACTGTTCGCTGATTTTAATATTTTAGGACTGTTCAGATTTTAATATTTAAGGACTGTTTGCTGATTTTAATATTTTAGGACTGTTCAGATTTTAATATTTTAGGAATGTTCAGATTTTAATATTTTAGGAATGTTCTCTGATTTTAATATTTAAGGACTGTTCAGATTTTAATATTTCAGGACTGTGTTCACTGAGTTAAATATTTTAGGACTGTTCACTGGGGGTTTGATTACTTTACGTTTGGGATACTTTGTCTTGAATGGATTCTTGCAATCCTTCTTCCTTACCAACTTTCAGTTGTTTACAGGTAAATAAAACCGGTTCATCTTGGAATAAAACCGGTTTATCTTGAAATAATACTGGTTTCTTATGAAATAAAACCGGCTTATCTTAGAATAAAACCGGTTTCTTTTAGAATATAACTGGTTCATTTTAGAACAAAACCAGGTTATCTTGGAATAAAACCGGTTTATCTTAGAATAAAAACCCGCTTATCTTAAAAAAAACTTTCAGAATAACCAGGTCATATTGGATTAAAGCAGGTCTATCTTGGAATAAAACCGGTTTATCTTGGAATAAAACCGGTTTATCTTGAAATAATACTGGTTTCTTATAAAATAAAATCGGCTTATCTTAGAAAAAAACCGGTTTCTTTTAGAAAAAAACTGGTTCATTTCAGAACAAAACCAGGTTATCTTGGAATAAAACCGGTTTATCTTAGAATAAAAACCCGCTTATCTTAAAAAAACTTTCAGAATAACCAGGTCATATTGGAATAAAGCAGGTCTTTCTTAGAATGAAACCCGTTTTATCTTAGAATAAAACTGATTCCTTTTTGAATAAAAGCCAGTTTATTTTGGAATAAAACCAGCTTAGAATAAAGCTGGTTAACTTAGAATACAACGGTTTTTATTCCCGAGATAATAAAGCCTGTTTATCTTCCATGAGAATAAAACCAGTTTTCATTTATTCCCTGAGAATTAATAAAACCGGTTTTATCTTCCATGGGAATAAAACCAGTTTTTATTTATTCCATGAGAATTAATAAAACCGGTTTTATCTTCCATGAGAATAAAACCAGTTTTTATTTATTCCCTGAGAATTAATAAAACCGGTTTTATCTTCCATGGGAATAAAACCAATTTTTATTTATTCCATGAGAATTAATAAAACCGGTTTTACCGGTTTTATCTTCCAAAATCATTAAACGGGATATAATTCTTCAAAGAGTAAAAGCGTTTTCATTTTGTGGTGTACTGTGTAAAACACCTGGTTTAGCTCTTGTTCAAAGAAGTTTTTAGTATTAGTATACACTTGAAAAGAACTCAGTAGTAAAAAGCCAAGATTGAGTGGAATAACGAAGCATGGTTGCACACAAACTTTATTTACATTATAACGATACAAACGATTAGTGTTGGACCGACTAAAGTTGATCTAAATACACAGGTCATTCGCCTGGGGGTGAATATATTTCCATTTGACTCTTCTGATCAGATACGTGTTAGAACTGATGTGGTTTGGGGGATTGGGGGATAAGATGGTTGATGATCCTGGTGACTGACTGACTGACTGACAGTACAGATATCTCCCAGATAAAAAAGGTGTTCAATACCCTTGCCAGCCTAGCCTGTTATATACTAAAACTTCAAACATACTCGGGGTTCAATATACTCTTGAGCCTGGACTAGATTGTTTGGCTGTATTCTTGTATTGCATTGTTAGGCTTTATTTCTCCGACCATGGGAGCAATGAACTGTAGGATACTATATACACGATTGAGAACCCTTGGTTGGGTTCACATTAGCATTACCTTATGAAAGAAGCATATTTAATGAAAATTTACGTATATTTACTTCACAGGGCCTGCACATTGCGCACATTTTTAAGCATTTAATCATATCTGGCTTACATATGCTTTTATTAAAAACCCTAAAAGATTTTGTCCAACAGACATGGCCTAAACTTTGTAATCTTAAAAGAAAACTTGGTTACACTTCTTTATTTTTATAAACTATATTTAGATGTTACCGAGTAGTGCGGAAGGGGGGACAGAACTATATAGCCCCAGAACCCCAGGAGATAGATACCAGATCAATTAACAGTTTGGACACACAGATTAGCAACGATTCTACTAAATAATTCACCGATAAGAAAATATATATAAACAGTGTCCAATTTTAATGAATTTAAGCCGCGACTCAATCTCAAATCCCCCAAAAACAATCAATTGAGCGCCGGCTTTAATCTTGAAACATTTAATACTATTTTAACCAACAATAATTGAGCTGCGGATTAGATTTAAGCCGCGGTCTATAAATTCAGCCTGAAACTGTGCAAAATAAAACAGTGATAACCAGAAAACAGTGGAATAGGAAGACAACTCAAGACCTAATGTATTTTACATAGACACTTATAAAATCACTAATTTAGTGAATTGGGTCTGTTTACATTGCACAATTGATGTCTATCATGCTCATGGAACTTTTTAAAGTTATAACTTTTTAAAAAGTCGTCTTCGTATTCAGAGTTTTCTTGTGATACACAATTTAGACGCGATTATTTTGGTCTCCTATTTCGTCTGGGTTATAAACTGATTTAAAAAATCGAATTTCGGATAAAAACCCTCCAGAATTATTCCACCTCGTGGTTTTTAAAAGTACGGGATTTTGTCTGATGTAGCAAATGCAACTTGATATTTGATTTTATAATACTGCAACTGCATTCTCATTCACCACACCTATCCATCCCCTTCTGTTAAGTTTTAAAAAAATCAGAGTTTTTAAAATCATAAATTTCTTAGAATTTAAATGGAAAGTTATTTTGAATTAATTTGATATTTCCAACTTCCATATTTCGTTCTTTTTAAACATTAAGTTTGATCAAAATAAAATTAATAACTTGTTAAAAAAAATCAGAACCATTGACTAAAGTTATTACTTTTTTTGTAAATTTTTGAATCATGTAACTTTACAGTTTTTTTGTGTTATAATTATATTATAATTATATTATAAATAAAATATATAATGTTAATTAAACTTTTTTGAGGGAACCCTGGGTGACATAGGATTGAAAGTTTTCTGACATTTTTGAAGTTTCAGGAAAGTAAACATGTTAAGAAAAAAATAATTTTGAAATTTGAACCGTTTTTTTACATTGCGTCAAAATCACACTGTGACCAGGAGATACATTTTTTGGGATGAACATCGCTTAAAAATGATTGAAAAAATCTTAGTTCTTCGTTTTAAGTTGATTTTTGAAAACTTACCATTCTTTTGAAGCAAAATCTATCGTTTTTTGGTCAAAGAGTTTTAGATTGAAACTAGAAAATTAATTGAAGCAAGGATGCATGTTGTCCTGAATATATGTTAGTTTTTGTGAATTTTTCTTAATTTTTAAAGACTAATTTTAATTTTTATTTCCAAAATTTTAGTCTATGAAACAATTGTTTTAAGGGTAACGTTATTCATTGTGGGGGGACCCCCCCCCTCGTACGCCCCTGGATTTTTTCATAGGAATATTCTTCAGAAATACAAATATTGATTTAATTCGTAACTAATATTAAATTAAAATTTGTAATAATGTAATGTAAATTATGTAATCGATCGCCTTTTTAAATGAAGGATCAATCAAAATAACCCATATTATACAGTTCCTTTTAAACTAAAATTATAATATCTGTATACAGTGAGAACCAGAAAACATTGGAATAGGAGGACAACATTAAAGCAGTAATTAAGTGTATTTTATGTTGTTACAAAGCGAATAGTAACAGTAGTAACTTATTAAATCAAATACTAAACAATTTCATGTTCCCTGGACTATTAAAAGTCAATTAAGTTGAGTCTAAAAGTCTTTCTGTTTCGCAGTTTTATGGTTCATACTGTAGATATTTAACATGTGAATACAGGGTGTCCCACGAAACATGAAATGGGTTTTTACCATATTTTGTCAAGTTGTTTGATACCAAAGAGAACAATAAAAATACTATATGGAAGTCATATTATAGTAAAGGTGATTTCAAAGTAAAATATATTTGAGCAAAAGATTTTTCTAACGAAATAAACTGCAGTATGTGGAAGAAGACACCAACTGTCATGTTTCGTGGGACACTCTGTACCTTGCGAGTGTGTGACAAACCAATACCATGGCAACGAACGCACACACACACCACACACTACATGGAAACCATGGAATATATACACAAAATATTCACACTACTCTACACGTAATCATTATCAGGGGTAAGCTATAAAAATATACCCTGGGATAAAAATTAAAATTTTTAAAATTTACATTTTCGATTTTTTTTTTCTCGTAAATTTTGTAAAGAAGTTAAATGCTTCGTTGGCAAGAGGCTTGTTTATAGTTAGTTGGGTTGAAGCATTACGTAAAATATTTTAATATTTCTTTTAATATGGCTTATTTTTGAGCATACTTTTTAACAAAGTCATAATAATGATTTTCATCTATATAATAAATCGAAAAAACACGAAAGCAAAGTTGACAAGATTGATATGAATATATTAATATTAAACAAACCATAAGGATTAAGTTTCCTGAAGAATAAATAAATTATTCACAAAATCAGTGTTCGCAATTACATGTTCTAATTAATTATTTAAGTCACAACATTATCAGTTTGCTCGGAGAGGGGGGGGGGGTATACAAAAATGACATATTGAAAAGGTCAAACAATATTTTCTATTAGTCGTTCGAAAATCAAATAGAAAATAAATCAATTCTTCCATTTTTTGGAATCATGTTTATCAAATTCGTAAAACTAAAGATTTTTTTCATAATTTTTACCTTTTTTCGAACATTTCCCCCCTTGCTGTTTGAGTGTGGGCCGGCTAACTAGGATTGGAATATTAGAAATCTGAATAAATTACAATGGGTTTGATTTATATGTTCTGTGCCTTGCTCTGAATTCAAATTTTAGATATCTTTCCTTTTTTATCATAATTCGATGTAACCTTCATTTTACAATTGGGGTGGGTTTTTTTATGCATATGGTAGGACGGTCAAAAATATCCCAAAACTTTTATCTCATTTAAAAAGCTACAGATCTAAAATCTATTTGGTTGAAAACCCCATTAAAAAATTGAATGTATACTATCATGTCACTCACGCCATGACATGTAAATATTTGTAAAAAGTAAAATTAAATATTTTTCAACATTTTTCCAACGTACTTTTTGAACTTAAAAAACTGCGCTAGCACCATTACAATTAAAGATAGAGGTATTTTTTTTAATAAGCTGGCCTTGAGCTGGACTAGGGACATGTAAGCTTCAGGGGGAAAATAATGGGAGGGGGGAAACAATCATTTGTTGATTACATGTAAAATCACGTTTGAGTGGCCGAACTTAATTCCAAATAACCCTCCAAAGTAAGGGTTGAATGACCCCTTAAAAGAAATTAGTAAGATATTTTTCTTGAAAATTTCTGATTTTAATCTTGGATATGGGGTCTCATTAAACTCTACGGACGATTGTGAGAATAACAAACTCTTACCAACCCAATCCAATGTCTTAGACCTTGACCAAAGTATGAATTCTGTTAGATCTTACATAAATAATCCAAATTTGAAATATCAAAGGTTTAACTTGTCAGGTTGCAAAGATGTAGAGATTTGAAAGTTTTAGTTTGTTTGGTTTTTATTTTAAATGTCTTCTTCCATGATTTGTTCTTTGATGTCAAAGAGAAATATCACATGGTCGTCATATTGTACAGTGAAACCCTTAATAACGAATACATCGGAAGAATTTATAAAATGTCGTCTTGGCCATTTTTAAATGAGTTTTATACTATATTTCGTAAATTTCAGTTTTTGAGAAAATAAATAAATAGCCATGAATATAAGGGAACAGTTTTGAAAAATTCCATATAATCATTTAATTAAAAAACTAAATATCTGCAACATTCTATTATCAGAAAGTGAAGAATACGACATTTGATGAATTCTTTCGATGTATTCGTTATTAAGGGTTTCACTGTAGTAAAATTGACCAATAAAATAAAATATATTTGAGTAAAAGTTTTGTTTAACAAAATAAACTGCAAAAAGTCTTTAATATCGTATACAGTATATGGAAGACGACATTTAAAACTATTTACCAACTTTCATTTTTCGTGGGACACCCTGTATGAATTAGATGTAAATTTTAATTATTTTTGAAATTTGTTTATTTTATTTGTGGTTTCTCTACAAAAGTGACATTATTATAAAACCTATTTGAATTATCACAAATAAACACTTTCAAATCTCGAGAAACGACAATATCTCACACATTATCAATCAGATAAAGGTTTCAAGGGTACCGTTGTAAATCAGACATTGCCATTTTTGCATGGAGGCTCACACGAAATAACGTGTATGATCCCTTTAAGAATGCAGCAGGATGTCAGATAAGATGAAAACTTAAATTAAAAGACACAAACGAAGAAAAAAGAGAAAATGTCGGGAATAACGGACTTGGAGGACCCTAATACGGTTCACTATGAGGTAAAAATTTTTCTTTTCTTTTTAAACCATTATAAAAATTATGAAAAATAGGAATAACATTTGTGATTTGAACTAGGGATAGACATTAAGAAGAGCTTTCCCTTTTATAAATAAAAAACTACCATACCGTCGTACAATACATCATGGCAGCATGATTTTCATGAAAGATACTTTTATTATCTTACTTAATCTTACTTAAATTCATTAAATTTAATGCTTTTCACTGAATATTCATATTTCTAATAAAAAATATATTAATAAAAAAAATAATTTAAAGATGAATCACGACATATGTAAGAAAAACATCATAAACTAAACGTTGAAAAGAATCAAAGCAAACAAACGTTTTACAAGAATTACATAAATATTTAAATATTTAAGCACGTGCGAGGTATATACAAAAAGTCAGTTGCATTCCTACAGCCTAGGATAGCAGAGCTCAGCTAGAAAGCTCTATGCACTATTTGCAGCGGACGCTGAGAAAGGTGTCTGCATTTATGGAGGGAGGGAAGGCCAAGCGGCCCTGAATCTCGTGCTCAATTAGCTAGCCTCCTTCTTAACCACAGTACCCACGGCCGGGGTTCTAAGTCAAGAAATAGGAATAACAAAGAGCTAATATGTCTAATACTTATCGGGTTTTATATCTTAGTGATCGGAGCCCTTTCTGCTCTCTGATCAGAGCTGATAAAAGGGGTTAACTCAGCATTCTGCATGCAGCGTTGTACACTAAATGCGATACTTCCTGCGGAATCCCGCTGGACTGGAAAACACTATAACATGTGGACAAATGAAATGACTTTAACGAAACATTCCTTATACGCCCCTCCTACAAACTCTTATCCTCATCTCCACTCTCCTCTACCTACCCTCTAACCTTCTCCCAAGCAGCAAAATGAGACTTGAGGACATTTCTCTGTTGGATCTTACAACAAAATTAACTCTGAGCCGGTCACTTGATTACCCTTTGTTGAAAAGCACCCTCCTTGTGCTGGAAAGCTAAAATGTGAGGTTCATAGCAAGGAAGCTATTTCTCCCTCGCTGCAAATAGAAACTAATTTAAAGTGCAGGAGCTGTGACCTAGCACATGCAAGTAGACAGAATGTTCAGTGCTGAGGCTTCAATTACAATTCAACAAATCAAAAAAAAACTGTCTTATAATGGCGCAAAAACAGCGGCTCATAAACATTCTTTCAAAAACAGCGCCATAAATAAACGGGAGGCAAGAAAAAGAGAAACTGCGGACGTGCAGATGGAGAAAGGAGAAAAGAGATGAACATTTGAAATTATTAACTATGCCTTGTACCATTTTATTTTACAAAAATTGTAAAACATTAATTATAAGAACATTATTAAAAATAATACAGGGTGTCCCAAAAAACAAGAGAATTCAATGACGAATTTGATATCGTCTTTGTTATGAATTAGCATTGTAATACCTAATTTCAAAAGCCATAATATTATTATGTCTGTTAGAGTTTATTTTAAAGGGACTGTAAAGGAAAAATTAAAGGGGGTATAGGCTAAAAGCTAATCACTTTAGCTCTCGATCTCGACCCATGAAAGTTATATCTGATGTTCCTATCTCGAGAAACTGATTTACAACTTTGTCAAATTTATACGAAAATTAATATATATACAATTTTGTATCAAAGTAGTGGGTTTAAGAAGATCAAATTCAGCAAATAAGCAACCAATCTGAAAACGATGATATCCCAGAGAAAGCTAATTGTAACTTAGGTTTACTCCAATTCTAATTTTATATTTGTGATTTCTATTTTTTATAGATTTAATTCATAATATTATTTATACGTCCGTATTGTTTGACCAGAAATTCCACCAATGGCAGTGCAGTAAAGTGGTCACGTGATACAGGCGGAGACACGTGACCAGTATACTGCTCTGCCATTGGTGATAGTTCTGGTCACGTGATTTAAGTTTAAGATTTCCTAAATTTTACATATATGAACTCGCATATATTTTAACACAGTTTTATATCAATTTCTCGAGACAGGAACATCAGATAAAACTTTCATGGGTCGCGATCAAGAGCTAAAGTGATTAGCTTTCAGCCTATACCCCCTTTCATTTTTCCTTTACAGTCCCTTTAAGAAAAGGCTAAAAGACTGTAAAGATGTGTCTATAATGTCTCCGCAAGATGAACAGTGAAGACGGACAAGTTTACTCTGTTTGTAATTTGTAATTTTCTTGTTTTTTAAGTACAACCGTGTGCAGTCAAAACATAAACAAACAAAATGTAAACATAGCAGACAAAACTCTTACAGATTACAGCTTTCTCAGTGGGTATCATTATACTGAATCAAAGAATTATTTAAAAAGACGAAATCGAATTCGTCACTGAATTCCCATGTTTATTGGGACACCCTGTACAAAAAGATTAAATATACTTCTTTTAGACAGTTCAATGATCATCTCTATTTGTAGAAAAACATCAAAAATATATGCCTGTATCAAACTCTTTATAAAAAAACTTAAATGCTGTAAGCACGTTAGAAATTTTCAATTATTCTTTATCATTTTCATATTTCTTTAAAAATTGAATTAATAATGAAATTTAAAGACTGAATCATGGGATTTATTTTAATAAAATAATTAAATATGAGTTTCATTGAACAGAGTTAGGAGAATCAATCGCAGAAAAAAAATGTCTAAATCAAACTCTTTTTACAAATATCATTTTAAATTCATTATTTTCATATTTCTTATAGAAACTACTCAAATTAGATGAATAAAAAAATAATAGGTTGAAAAAGTTCATTTAAAAATAAGTCTTCTAAGTTGATAATCTTTATTTAAGAAAAACTTAGACATATTTTTAACAACATTTTTTACTTTGAATTTTCATTACAATTCGCTTTATAAAATTATCCTAAACTTATACCTGTATTCCTGGGCATATTATTCCTTTTTTAACCCTGTATTCCTGGGCATATTATTCCTTTTTTATTCCTGTATTCCTGGGTATATTATTCCTTTTTTAACCCTGTAATCCTGGGTATATTATTTCTTTTTTAACCCTGTAATCCTGGGTATATTATTCCTTTTTTAACCCTTTAATCCAGGATGAGGGATATGAGGGGAACAAAGTACAAACCCGACCTTCAACAGGGAAGCTTTGGTCAACACAAGGAGACAAGGTGAGATAAGACGACCTTTCGACTTATGTAAAAAGTCTACAAGTATTTTATTGTGATAAAACTTTTTAAAAAAACAGTACAATTTTGTATCAGACGCCGCTAATCACACTTTTTTTGACTCACCCTGTATGTTTACTCTTTACTTATTATCTCTATTACTCAACAACATGCGAACATTTGCTGATTTTCTCTATTACTGAAATAATTATTTACTCTATACTTATTATCTCTATTACTCAACTACATGCTTACTTTATATTTATTATCTCTTTTACTCAATTACATGTTTACTCTATGCTTATTATCTCTTTTACTCAACTACATATTAACTCAATACTTATTATCTCTATTATTTAACTGCATTTATACTCATTATCTATAATACTATAATATTACTATGTGTTTACTTTTTACATATTATCTCTAATATTCAACTACATGTTTACTCTATACTTATTAACACTTTTACTCAACTACATGTTTACTCTATAAATATTATATCTCTATTACTGAACTAAATGATTACTTTATACTTATTATCTCTATTAATCAACTGCATGTTTACTCTATACTTATTATCTCTATTACTCACTCAATTACATGTTTACTCTATACTTATTATCACTGTTACTTAACTACATGTTTACTCTATACTTATTATCTCTATTGTAAGGATCTTGAAGATACTGAATCTCTATCTCCGAGTTTATCTCCCTCCCAGCAAATTGAAGCTGAGCAAGGACTCTCAGAGGAAGATACTAAAATACTTTTAGAAAAGGTATAAACACAATTTTGATTTTGATTGATGGATTGATGGGTTGATGGATTGATGGATTGATGGATTGATGGATTGATGGGTTACCTACAAAGAATGAGACTTGTGGAATTCGTTCAGTGTTTTTTTTTTACATCTTTGTGTTTTTTTTTACAAATTACAAATTTTTATTTTTGATTTTCAACAATTTCAAGATTAAGAAAAAGTAATTAAAATACATATGCATTCAAAGTAAATAATCATTTGTTCCATAACCTTATGTTCTGCCACCCTGTATTTACTTGATTTTTCTGATTTCCATGCTACCCTGTATTTACTTTATTTTGCTGATTTCCATGCCACCCTGTATTTACTTCGTTTTGCTGATTTCCATGCCACCCTGTATTTACTTTGTTTTGCTGATTTCCATGCCACCCTGTATTTACTTTGTTTTGCTGATTTCCATGCCACCCTGTATTTACTTGATTTTTCTGATTTCCATGCCACCCTGTATTTACTTTATTTTGCTAATTTCCATGCCACCCTGTATTTACCTGATTTTTCTGATTTCCATGCCACCCTGTATTTACTTTATTTTGCTGATTTCCATGCCACCCTGTATTTACTTTATTTTTCTGATTTCCATGCCACCTTGTATTTACTTTGTTTTGCTGCAAGAGTAACATGAACTCTTTCCCCCAAGGTTAATTCAAATTCCACCTGCCATCTAGTTTACAAAGCATACGTAAATTGGATTCATAGCTTTCATGTTCTTCAAGTTCCCACTATCTTTAGACGTTTACTTATTTATTAAATTTGCAAATACTCATTATTATCATTATCACAATTCTGATTATGATTGATGGGTTACCTACAAAAGATGAAACTTACTGAATTCTTTCAGTGTAATTACTGTGTAATCTGTGGGTCTTGTTTTATTTTTTTTTAAACAAATTGAAAATTATTCATGTTTTAAACAATCTCAATATTAAGAACTAGTAATTATTATGCATGCATTCAAAGCAAAAAATCAGTTGTTCCAACTTTTTCTTCCCTGGCCACCCTGCTTTTACTTTATTTTGTTGAGTGGCACTTAATGACACATGAGTAACATCAAGGTAAATGAAACACCACTTTCTAAAGCTTAAAAAGCAAAGCAAATATTTCTTGTTTTATTAATCATTTCATTAATCTTGTATTTAAAAATTTAACAAAAGATTGATTTGTAAAAGAACAAAGAATAGATAATTTTCCGATTTAAGAAAACTATATTTCATTTTAAAATCTTGAACATCATAACAGTCAAGGATGTTCCACGGCAGGAAGATTTCTACCGTGCATCTTCCTTGCTTAGAGCTATCTCTTTCCCTCTCAATCTTCCACTAAAACTGTAAAGTGTAGATAATGCAGATGTGTACAATTAATTATATGAATAAGATGGGAGAAGGTTCTATGGTATATTTTGAACAAAATACTTTTATAGCACTGCACACCCCGGACCAGAATTAAGAGGCATTCGGTTTCTTCTATTTGAAATCATACTCGTTTTGGTTTATATTTTAACAATCTTTAAAGTTACGGATTTGTTTGTTTAATACTTTTTATTTAAAACGTATATGCCGGCAAAAAAAGTATTTAAGGAAGAAGGCTGAAAAATTATGTTTAATAGGAGAAATTGTAATCAAAAGTCATAGCTTTCTGGAATATTGACAGAACCATTAAATCCACGTGTGCAATATGTTTCTGGAATATTGACAGAACCATTAAATCCACGTGTGCAATATGCTTCTGGAATATTGACAGAACCATTAAATCCACGTGTGCAATATGTTTCTGGAATATTGACAGAACCATTAAATCCACGTGTGCAATATGTTTCTGGAATATTGACAGAACCATTAAATCCACGTGTGCAATATGTTAAAAAGAGTTACACACAATGACTTCAGAGAAAACTGTAGGGAATTTATATTCCTGGTTTCCCTTAGCTTTAAACTTCTCATTTTCTTTAACATAGGTTTGAAGGATTTTAGTATTTTAGGAATTTAAAGATTCAGATTTAGAAAAATGCTTAATATGATGTAGTTTCAAGACACTTGCCATTTAAACAGATCCCTATAATCCTAGCAAAGATTTTATCGGCTTGCGCTCTGAAAATTGATTTTTTTTCAATTGTTGTTAATTTCGTTTGTTTTCTAACTGAACGATAATATAGTAAAAAAACTACATTTTTTTTTTAAAAAGCTTGTTAAAAAGATCGTTCGTTATGTAAAAAAAGTATCCTTCTTTAAAAACAAGACATTCGTATATGCGTTCCCCATAATAGCCAACCAAACGGCTGGACCGAATGGGCTGACAATTTTTGAGGGAACCCAGCTGGGTAATATAAGCTAAAAAAATTCAACATTTCTTTTATTTCACGGGCAACGCCGGGCACTTGAGCTAGTCCCTATTAAAAAACATCATTCTGATATGGAGTCACTTGATATTATGTCTACAATCTTTATAGATATCTTCTTAGGCCAGTCTTTATGTTGTTTAGGAGTTTGATGATTTCTACGAGGATAGGATTCACAAATCTGCCGGACCTGTTGTGTTCCTCAGTAAGGTAATTATTAACAAATCTAAGGTGGTTCCCCTACCTCTAAGGGTTACATCTCATTAAAACACGTTTATAATTAAAAATAACAATATAAATCCGCTATAACATCTCAACCAATTGGTCATATCTGATTAATCATATCTGATTGATCATTTCTGATCGATCATGTCTGATCGATCATGTCTGATTATTCAGGTGTATTTGATCAAGTCGGATTGATCATATCTAATTGATCATGTTTGATTGATTATGTCTGATTGATCATGCCTAGTTATTTATATCTAATTTATCATGTCTGATTGATCATATCTGATTGATCAAATCTGATTGATCATATCTGATTGATCATGTCTAATTGAACATGCGTGATTGATCATGTCTGATTGATCATATCTGATTGATCATGTCTGATTGAACATGTCTGATTGATTATGTCTGATTAAACATGTCTGATTGATCATGTCTGATTGATCATGCCTGATTGATCATATCTGATTGATCGTGTCTGATTGATCTTAATAATAATGATTCTAGTGTTTGGGAATGATCCCTCTGATCTGGACGGATGATGAAGAAGGATCAGAGTGCAAAACTTACTTTAACATCTACACCTTCGTCGTATTTCTTGGGTAAACCATTTTAATAGGACTGTTCACGCAATTTCATGTGACCCTCCAATCTCCATGCAAAGATAGCAATGCTTGATTCCCAACGGTACCCTTGAAACATTTAACTGATGAATGATGTGGAAGATATTCTTGTTTTCTAAGTTCATGCTGATATTTCCTATTTGTTCTGCTGATGTAAAAATGTGCAAGTTACTTCTGGGAAGAAACCTCAATAAAAAATTTATATTTTTTTTTAATTGGAAACTTTAATTTCATACTTGATTAGACAAAGCTTTTGAGGGTACCGTTGTGAATCGGGTATTGTCATCTTTGAATAGAGGTTCATTGGAAATTTCACTTACGGTCCCTTTAAACATTTTAGTTCAAGCTGATGAATTGTACAGATAAGAGTCGGGGAACTCTAACACTTTTTCGCCCTTGAAACCGAACATTATGGGGTAATGCTCGGTTTCTGACTTATAGAAACCGAGCATTAGGGCTCCAATGACAATCTTGAGGTCTCCAATGAAAATCTGGGGCCGTCTCCAATGAAAATCTGGGGTCTCTTATGAAAATCTGGGGGGTCTCCAATGAAAATCTTGGGGTCTCTCAAACAATTCTGGAGGTTTCCAATACAAATTTGAATGTAAAGCTGGGGGTGTCCAATTAAAATCTGGGGTCTCCATCTAAAATCTGGGGTCTCCAATGAAAATCTGTAAGTCTCCAACGAAACTCTGGGGTCTCCAATGAAAATTTTGGGGTCTCCAACAAAACTATGGGGTCTCCAATGAAAAGATTGGGGATTAAAATATGGAGGGCTCCAATTAAAATCTTGAGGTCTCCAATGAAAATCTGGGGCCGGTCTCATAGGAAAATCTGGGGTCTCTTATGAAAATCTGGGGGTTTACAATGTAAATCTGGGGGTTCCCAAAGAAAATCTGTCAGTCTCAAAGAAAATTTGTTGTCTCCAAAGAAACTCTGGGGGTCTGCAACAAAATCTGGGGTCTCAATAAAAAGTTGGGGCTCTCCAACTAAATGGTCATAATGGCCGACCATGCAGGGTTTCTATAAGGCAGAAACCGACCATTACCCCTCATGCTCGGTTTCTATAAGGCAGAACCCGAGCATTACTCCTGTTTCGCAACCTATTGCGATGGCCTAAGTATTCTATTGTGGTGTATTTCTCTTGGATGGATCGAAAGCTCCTCTATCATAAGATCTACTCATGTTGAATAAGAACAATCAGAGCTTAATGACTTTATTGTTCAATCTAAAAACACAATTTTATAGATTGATATATATAAACTACAGAAAAAGTTTTATTATAGGACAATACCTTATTATTTATAGACTCAAATGTATTTACAACGAAGAAAAACGACAAATTTCTCATTTAAGCATAAAATACTGAAAGTTTATATATTTGCATAGGCTATTAATTTCCATATATTATCAATTGGCACAATAATATTAGTTGAAAGCAAGTCTGATATTATAGCGCAAATCTTACCACAGTGAGTCCTCAGGAAATAAACACGAACCAATAATGTATGGCAAATCAACATCTTTGACATAGATGTGTCTAACACTGAAATTGGAATAATATTGAAGATAAGTATACGCTATCAATATCAAAGACCTTTCTTTATACATAAACTGTTTTTTGCGGAATTTTCCAGAGCTTACTCCCGCAAAACGCAGTACGTTTTCAGGGGCAGAATAGTGCCTATCGCAGGGGTGCATCATCTCCTATCCTTCTATTTAATCAACGCAAGATAGGTCGCGAAACAACCCCCTAATGCTAGGTTTCTATAAGGCAGAAACCGAGCATTAACCCCTAATCTCGGTTTCTATAAGACAGAAACCGAGCATTAACCCCTCATGCTCGGTTTCAAGAGCGAGAAAGTGTTTCAGAACCCCAACTGTAGAATATAGAATGTACAACACTATGTTGTACATTTAAAGATTTTGAATTTTTTTTTTAAATTTTGAAAAAAAATGTCAGCACAATCGGTCCAGACTCTAGCCATTTGGCTGGCTATAGACAACATATATATATACAAATGTCTTGTTTTATTATATAGATGCATATAATTATCATGACAATATCCAGTCATTCTGTTAAGAAGTTAAATAAAAACATCTATCTACAATCTACACAGTACAGACCCACTCCTACTTAATATTAGATAGATTAAACATTAATTTTATTGTTCAATTTAATTTTGTATTGTTTTTATTCTAGATGGATTGGATTAAGTGTACTGACTGGCATGAGGATCAACCTGTACACTACCTGGCCTGCCCAGGCTGTGTTTACTCCGGACAACTCAACTACAGCAAACCGGTTTCTAGGCAGGGTAAGCACCCCAGGGGGCCCGAGTAATAGCTGTCTACCTGCCAGCCTAAATAGCTGGACTGTACACTAACAATTATGTTTACTTAAAATATAATTATGGCCTAATTCGTACAATATAATAATCAAATATGCAGGATTATAACTCGGTTATATAGTTCCTAGCATGTAGATTCTAGTACAATAGATGGCAGCGTAAAATTTGTACAGAATTGTATTCTGACGTCACAAATGCCAATTCAGTTTTTGTGTCCGACAAAATTATTAATAATGGTTATAATCTTAGAATAAAGTACTTATCTTACAGTAAAAGAAGTGCATTCTCATGTGTTCCCTAGTTTCTGTTTTTACACTTTTTTATTTAATCTTGGAAAACATGTCAACTATAATTTGAAAACATCTCGTTTTTCTTGTTCTATTCGACACTTGTGACGTTGTGTATAATTGGTCCATTTCTCTGTTGCAACCTATTGTACTTTATAATCTATTTGGTTCCCAGTCTATATGATATGATAAGGTTGGATAAGCAATTAGCAACTATAGATATTGTTTAAACATACATATATGTACTTTGGAAATTAGGTGGAGATTTGCTTTTGCTTTGTTGGGTATTATCCCCACATAATTAATAAAAAACTAACTTTTACAATATGTTGGTTGGATATTACTACAAAGTTTAATGTAGAGAGACAAAGGTGCGTTATAAGAGTAAATTGATATTCAGTTTTGAAGTTTTGAACGCATAAGATTAATTGCATGTACAAAAGTCTACCAATATTTATATTCATTTTTGCAAGAATAGCAAAAAGATTTAAAGTTCACTGTATATGTAGTAGGAGTTTAAGCTAACGTTTCTTTTTCCACAAATGAGGAACCAGAACTTATCAACTTAACAAGTTATAATTTTCCAGATGACCGTTGATACATATGCAGCGGCAATATTTTCTAATTGCCTTGTAGCGGTAGTCTTCGGAGTGTTCAAGGTAAAGGACAATTTGAAATTAATTTGTATTGCTAATAACATGCAGTAGATCTTGCAGTCAGTTTTAAGAAACAAAAAGTTTAAGTTACCAAAAAGTAAATTCGTTTAGGAATTAATAAGTTACAAATACAGGATTTGTATAAATAATTTCTTAGTGAAAGCACAAAGATAAAGTAAAACCACCCCCAGGCCAATAATTCCAAAATGCAAATATATGTGAAAATATCAGGTGCGTAATTAAGATTAATTTAAATTGCAAAGAACTTGTGCAAAATTTCTTTGCAACAATTGTGCAATCTATTCCCAGAAATAGTCACTATCTTCTTTAGGGCTTTTTATTTATAAGACTTTCTTTAGAATATCAATGGTAAACAATATTGTAGTTTTTAATTAAATTTTAGAGTCGGATGTTTGCAGACGTTCTTTTCTACACTGCACAGATAGATAGTCAGCTTGAACTCAAGGAGAAAAGTTATGATAAGGTAAATCGTTGGGCCAGACCAATGGCTAGACCAATGGCCAGAGGCAGACCAAGAGCCAGACCAAGAGCCAGACCAAGAGCCAGACCTGGGCCAGACCAATGGCAAGACCAATGGCAAGACCAATGGCAAGACCAATGACCAGACCAATGACCAGAGCCAGACCAAGAGCCAGACCTAGGCAAGACCAATGGCAAGACCAATTGCCAGACCAATGACCGGAGCCAGACCAAGAGCCAGACCAAGAGCCAGACCTGTGCCAGACCAATGGCAAGATCAATGGCCAGACCAATGGTCAGATCCAGAGCCAGACCTTGGTTAGGTCAAGGGCCAGACCTAAGGACCAGACCAAGGTCCAGATCATGATCAAGACCAGGTACCAGACCAGGGGCAAGGTCAAGGACCAGACCAAGGTCCAGATCATGATCAAGACCAGGTACCAGACCAGGGGCAAGGTCAAGGACCAGACCAAGTGCAAGACCAAGGGGAGACCATGGGCATAGTCAAGGGTCAGACCATGAGCGAGGCCATGGGCAAGGTCAATGGTCAGACCATGAACAAGGCCATGTAACAGACTAGGTGCAAGGTCAAGGAACAGACCAAGGGCAAGACCAAGTGCAGACCATGGGCACGGTCAAGGGTCAGACCATGGTCAAGGTCAATGGTCAGACCATGAACATGGCCAAGTAACAGACCGTTGGCAAGTCAAGGACGTGACCAAGGGCCAGACCATGGACCGGGCAAGACCATGAGCAATACCTGGGCTAGGCCAAGGGATTGACCACAGGGAATGAATCAGAAGAACATTTATAGTTTTGAATCACAGTTACAACTGCATAATGAATCACAGATACGGATCAAGGGATGTGTTTTTAATATTTATATTTTCCTTCTAATAATCCCCCTGACCCGCCGTTTTTTCGTTTCATTACTTGGCTTTTAATTTAATATTCATATTTTCCCTTTAATAATCATTCTTTTATTAAGATTTACTACATAATATTTAATATGATTCTTGAAACTACCCCCCCCCCCCCCCATTTTCCTTTATGAAGCTTTATAAGTTTTGTATCTGTTTTGTATTCATATAAATCATTCTTTTACTCATCTATATCTGTACATATGTAATATAAATTTTACTATAGCTAGGGATCATCCAATTCCCGTACTGTCCCTATTATGCCTTATTTGTTTGTATTGTTTAGCTTGCTCTAGCTTAAACAGGAGTTTACAGTGATAAATTAAGTAGCAATATCTATTTATATACGCTTTTATGTCTTATCATAACTCAAGAACCCCTTGACTGATTTGCCTCAAATTTGTATTGGGAACTGATGAAAACAACAGGAATGTTGATTGCTCTGTACACATTTTAATTGTAGTGGGTTGACTTAAATTGGGAAAACTTACTTTACAGGAAAAGCTGAATTGTTTTGCTAGTTTGGACGCACTCAGGAATGTATCTGGCCGGGGGGCTAACATTTTTCTTACAAAGGGCGGGGGGGCTTTTTACAAATATAATGATTATTTTAGAAACTCCCTCCCCCATTTCCCTTTTTGACGTTTTTAATATTCAGCTTTCATTTTAATACTCATCGCTTCATTTAATGAATCTTTCTTTTATTTTTACATCCTGTTCAATATCAATTTGACGTGTATCTGCTGAATAATGAATTCAGGAAAAAGTGTACAATCTAAAAAATTACTTTAATTTCAAGTGACCCTCTAATAAAAGACTTGCGATGTCCGATTCACAGAGACTATTTTAGGGAAAACGGGCAAGTAAACCAAATTAAATGTATCCTTCTCTTCAGATTAATTAATTATAGCCTTCTATTGAGATTAATTAATTGAATCCTTCTGTTGAGATTAATTAGTTGTATCCTTCTATTGAGATTAATTAATTGTATCCTTCTATTGAGATTAATTAATTGTATCCTTCTATTAAGATTAATTAATTGGATCCTCTTATTTAGATTAATTAATTGTATCCCTCTATTGAGATTAACGTGATATAACTGTTAAGAATTTGGAGAACTGTTTATATAATGTCCTATTAATATCTTTCAAAAATAGTTTTTCAAAAAAAAGCTTTATTGGGGTTTAGTTTTTTTCACATGCTACTTTTATATCAACGATCAAAGACGATCTTCAAGTGTCAATTTTTTCTATAAATATTGTTATAAATATTAACAATCAAAGACGATCTTCAAGTGTCAAGTTTTTTTTATAAATATTGTTATAAATATTAACAATCAAAGACGATGTTTAAATGTTAGTATACCCTGAAAATCAAAGACGACCTCTTTGTCAATAATATTCTAATTTGTTTCTAGATCAAGGCTAAATCCCTGTTCTGGATTGTCCTGGAGATCCTTTTATTCGCCGGGCATGGGGTTGGACTCTTCTTTCTCTTTGAGGATATAGGTCAGCTCACTACAATGCTTTCATTATTCTTCAGAAGAGAGCGTGCACATTATTACCAATGCTGTGCAGATATAGCTCTATACCCTCTCAGATCCAAGTTAAGAGGATCTAGAGCTACCCTGCAAAGCAATGGTGAGAATGTGCACACTCTAATCTGACTGATGCATCAAATTAATATGCATATATTTTAAACAGTGTTTTACCAAAGATGTTATATCCAGGTTTTTTCCAGAAACATTTTTCTTTTGACTTTCTCACTGAGATTCAATGAACTTATCCTTACAGTCTCTGCCCAAATGCTTGTAATTTCTAATAACTTTGTTAAGTTTTTTTATATTTTCACATAAATTTCACTTGAAGGGTATCGTTCTTTGGCGTACAGTCCCGTTTTGCCTCATATAGTCTGCATTTGTACAGTACTGCTTGCCCTGGCTAGTTGAAATTCGACCCGGTACTTGAAATGAACTGAAATGTACAGAGGAAAAAATAAAATTTACGTTCCTGAAGTCCCAGAATATATACATTTTTGAAAACCGAGTTCGACTATTTGGGATTTGCGATTTGCGATTTGAAGTCAGCTTGGTTGCGTTCACACTGAACACTAGCGTACACTACAATACAGTTGTTGAATTTGGCAGCTGATTGTTGGTTACTAGAAATTTATTTCTGAATAATATAATATTTTTGAAATATCTCTGCAATATAAATCATTCCTATTCTTTTGCTGACCTCAGCCTTACAATTCGTTCAAAATTGATTTTGAAATTTCTCAATGTACAGGGTGTCCCACGAAACATGACAATAGCAAGACGACTTGAAAGTCGTCTTTGGTATTTGAATTTATTTGTGACATTAAGTCTTCTATCTACTTTAACATGTATGATTCTTGAAACAATTAACACATAATTCTCCTAGCCTCGGCATTTCCAAAAAGTGGTCTGCGTTTTTTGTGCTTTCAATATTACCGGAGATATAAAGAGTTTGGTTCAGATTTCAATTTTGTTAAATATGAAATTCTTCATATCTCGGGCAATATTGAAAGCACAAAAAAGGCAGACCACATTTTGGAAATGGCAGGACAAGGGAAATTTTGTGATTATTATCTCTAGAAATTTACCTCTAAAATTAGGTTGACAAATAAACGCAGCAAATTATATCAAAAATCAAGACGACATTCAAGTCGTCCTGCATACTGTCATGTTTCGTGGGACACCCTGTATGAAATACAAATTCCATCCGAAATAAATCTCAATAATTCTCTGGCTCTGCTTCCTATACGGCGTGAAATTACCAGATCAATCGGGGGGAAAATCCAAGTTTTTTGCCTAGAATGTTTTTGAATATTTAATTGCCACATACTGTAATCTACATGTATAAAGTTGTAATCTCTATTTGGGCGTCTGTCTGCTTCTTTGTTTGTTTTTCCACCATAAATCAGAAACCCCTGGACCGATTTGCCTCAAATTTGATTGTGAAACTTGGAAGAGCCAAGGAAATGTTCTTAGTTTGGTTTTGAGATTTTAAATTGAACTTTTTTAAAAAGTTTATATCTGCGTATATATTATGCAAAATACATGTTTACCCTCTATGATTTATCCTTAATGTTATATATTTAATCTCTAATTTTACCTGTTTTTTACTGTTTAGGCCGAGATCTGATTTTGTTTGGTTGCTTTTTACTCGCCAATCTTGCCATTGGAGTTCTTAACTTACAGGTTACATATGTAGTTGTATATAATTGAAAGGGATTTCTGTCAGAATAAAAATCTACTCTTTAATTTCTGATTGTATTCTAACTCAAAAACCAAAAAGGGCTCAGTAACATTATGCCTAGTGTGCGAATGCCTAGTTTGTGAACGCCTAGTTCATGAATGCCTAGTTCGTAATGCCTAGATAACATTATGCCTAGATAACACAATGCCTAGATTCATGACTGCCTAGATAACATACTAGTGCATTGAATGCCTAGACAATGTATTTCAACTAGATTAATGAGAGAAGAAAAATAACACACAATCTGGAAACAATTTTACACAAATTCACAAACAATTTACAAAATTCCGCAAACAATTTACAAACAATTTACAAACAATTTACAAAAATCCGCAAACAATTTACAAACAATTTACAAACAATTTACAAAAATCCGCAAACAACTTTCTGAAAATGTGCAACTTCAGTGAAAGTTTGACACGCAGCAGCAATGACTGCTCTGAGGGCGGACAATATGCTTGAGTCTCATGATAGAATATGGAAAATTCAAGTTATGACTTTAGGTAGTCTAATAAACATAAGATACAACAATTGTATAGTCTGAATAGACCCAGTTAGCTTAGTAAGTGATATAAACACTCACAAGTAAAGCTTTCACGTTGTTACAGCATCAAATGCAAACAGTTTTCTGGTTCTCACTGTGTTTACACAGAGGACACAAAAATTAGCATCCAAAAAAATTCAACCCACGCTCTTAGTAAAATTCTAAAATTTTGTTTGTAATATCTAACATTTTGTTTAAAATTATGAACAGAATATTAGACAAACAATTATATATAGAGCCTTTCTTTATAATGTAATTTGTATTTGAAGCTCAGAACAGTGACAGGATCCCCCCCCCTCTCCTCACCACATTTGCCCTCCTCTATAGATTTTCTTGTTCATGAGAAAATGCAATTAATACTTTTGCTAAAAATTCAACTTGAATTTCGAGTTTTTTTGTTATTGAATATTTCAGGAAAGGGAATTGATTACTTGCCTCAAACTCTTATTTTCTGATCGTAATAACATATAAACCTCATGTCTTAGACATTTTTTGAATCTCAAACTTTGACTCTTTGATCTAGCAGAATTCATAACTTGTCTTTCTTAATTTCTTCAGATTCACGAAAAGGAAGTGAGCTGTAATTTCAAGTGACTTTCCATTTTTAAATGCATTGCTTGTCTGATTCACAAGAGCACCCTGTAAAATTTGGACAGAACAAGGATGACAGACTTTCCTTGTTTATAAACAAAAACCTAAGCTATGTTTGCAAACTGTTATATATTCCAAAACGTTTTATATTTACTTTCAGAAGTCGTAGAAAATAAATAGTTTCAATATATTTTTGAAAATAGTATTTGACTTTGAATTATCGGGAATCTCGAGAAATATACAAAGTCAGCTGCGTTGAGTTCACACTGTATGCTAGCGTACAGTCTGAAATTTTGCGGTAATTTAACCACCATTTAAAAGATAAACACACGGAATACTCTGGCGATGATTAGACACACTTTTAATGGGTACCGTTGTTAATCGGGCATGGCCCTATTTAAATTAAGAGTAACTTGAAATTACGCCGACAGCCATTTTAATCAAGTGGAATTATCAGATAATTTTTCCATGAAAAGGAAGGTAAGTTTTTCGTTGAAAAAAATATTTTTTAGACTTTCCGAAGTGAGGAGCCAACTAATGAGATGCTGCAGAAGATCTTAGCCTATAGATGGGAAGCCGTTAAAAAGGAAGAAGCAAGGAACACGTAAGATACAGGGTGTCCCAATAATTATAGGAACACGGAAGATACAGGGTGTCCCAATGATTTAATGAACACGGAAAATATAGGATGTCCCAATGATTTAATGAACACGTAAGATACAGGGTGTCCCTAAATATATATTAACACGGAAGATACAGGGTGTCCAAATAACTATATGAACATGGAAGATATAATATAGGGTGTCCCAATAAATATAGGAACACGTAAGATACAGGGTGTCCCGATAACTATATGAATACGGAAGATAGAATACAGGGTGTCCCAATAAATATAAGAACACGGAAGATACAGGGTGTCCCAATAAATATAACAACACGGATGATACAGGGTGTCCCAATAAATTTAACAACACAGAATATATAGGGTGTCCAAATAACTTAGGAACACGGAAGATACAGGGTGTCTCAATAATTATATGAACCTAGAAGATACAGGATGTTCCAATAAATTTAGGAAAACGCAAAATACAGGATGTCCCAAGAAATATGGGAACACGGAAGATACAGGGTGTCCCAATGCATATAGGAACACGTAAAATACAATGTGTCCCAAAAAACACAGGAATAAAAGATTACAAAGTTAAAAATTAAAACTAGCATGAAATAATACAAATGAAAATGAAAATTGATTCTATAGCTGTCCTATAGCTGTTAAAGCCTACAAAAAGTTTTAAAATTGATTCTTCCAACATAAAAATAAAATTTGTGTCAACATTTTTGTTTAGATTTGATCAGATTTGGGAGCCTAGCGATAAGGATAACGCAAGCGTAGACATCACTTCAAGTAGCGTACCAGCTAAACCAAACTTTAATCAGGTACAAGCCAAACCAAGCTTTAATCAGGTGGCAACCAAACCAAACTTTATTAGGTGCCAGATAAACCAAACTTTGATCAGTTGCCAGCTAAACCAAACTTAATCATGTGCTAGTCAAACCAAAGTTTAATCAGGTGACAGCCAAACCAAACTTTAATCAGGTGCCAGCCAAAACAAATTTTAATCAGTGCCAGCCAAACTAAACTTAAATCAGGCATTAGACAAGACAAACTTTAATCAGGCAACTGTCAAACCAAACTTTAATCAGGTGGCAACCAAACCAAACTTTAATCAGGCAACTGTCAAACCAAACTTTAGTCAGATGGCAGCCAAACCAAACTTTAATCACGTGCCAGCCAAATCAAATTTCAGACAGGTGCCAGCCAAACTAAACTTTAATCAGGTACCAGCTAAAAAAATTAATTACAAGCAAAGCCAAACTTAATCATGTGCCAGCCAAACCAAATTTTAATCAGGTGACAGCCAGACCCAACTTTAATCAGGCTACAGCCAAACCAAGCTTTAATCAGGTACCAGCCAAATCAAATTTCAATTAGATGACAGCCATACCAAACTTTAATCAGGTACCAGCTAAATCAAGCTTTAATCAGGTACCAGCCAAACCAAAATTTATTCAGATACCAGCCAAATCAAACTTTATTCATTTGTCAGCCAAACCAAACTTTAATCAGGTGCCAATCAAATCAATCTTTAATCAGGTGCCAGCCAAACCAAACTTTTATCAGGTGCCAGCCAAACCAAACTTTTATCAGGTGCCAGCCAAACCAAACTTTTATCAGGTGCCAGCCAAACCAAACTTTTATCAGATGCCAATCAAATCAATCTTTAATCAGGAACCAGCTAAATCAAACTTTAATCAGGTGCCAGCCAAACCAAACTTTAAGTTTGAGCCAATGAAAAGGATTTATTTTGGTTATTTTTTTAGTTTCTAAAATTTTAGTTTAATCTTGTTTATTTAAGGATATTCCTCCAGCCCTGTGGATGAAAGGAGCAGAGAAGGAAATATCAAGGTAAACCCAAATATTTACTTTATCCTAACTTATCTCAAAGATGGCAAATACACGATTCATAACGGTACCCCTGATACTTTTGTCTGATGAATAATGTGGATGATGTTGCCGTTTTCTGGTTTAAAGTGTTAAATTCTAATAATTCCTAAATGTTTTCCTGGTGTCGCTAATCAATTTTGTAGAGAAACCCCATGATTGCAAATAATCAATATTAAGAATTATAAACATTGATATCTAATACTTGATCTGTCACAGCTATTAAGGGTACCGTTGTAAATCGGGCATTGCAATCTTGGTTTGAAGGGTCACTTGTAATTACAATTACAGTCCCTTTATTAATGCAGTGATAACCAGAAAACAATGGATCGAATAGGAAGATTACACTAAATCAATATTTAAGTGCGATTGTTGTTAATACAAAGCAAATAGTTGACCTAGTATTTTTTAAATAAAAAATTAGTGGAGCTGGTCTGTTACGACGCTCAATTGCCGTGTCTCAAGCTCATTGAACATTTTAAAGTTATAACTTCATTCTCAAAGCCGTCTTCCTATTCCAGAGTTTTCTGGTTATCACTGTAGATCAAGGGTTGAAATTAAGAAAGAATTTTTATTTATCTGTCCTAGAACTAGTTTCCACATTATGTTTCATGTTCATATCGCCTTAAGTCTTAACCATTTAAGAATTAAAAATTATATATCTTTTGTTCCAAATTTCTAATTTCTATAACATACTGACTATACTCTATATGTAACGTTTGGCCATATTATTGTACTTAAATAAATGCTGAAAACATGAATCTTTCATGAAACCAATATTAGATTTTGATTCCATTTACAAAGAACTTATAAGATAGAAATATAATAATCCGGAATCTACTTATATTGTTATAAAAATGGACAAAATCGTTAACTAAGGAACAATCGGTGTAATACAACTAAAAGTATTCAGATGATTATAAGTGCATATCTAAAAATTATGTTGTATGCGTACGTAAAATTTAGTTTCTTCGTTTTTTATAATTTATCTGGTTAAATCTAGGATTTGTACAGATCTGTAATAATTCAAACCGTTTAAGTTAAAATCTTTTTGTGTTAATTTTTGGATCAAAAAGTGCAGTTTTGTGTATCTTATGTCGTTAAAAGAATTAAATTAATTCCTCTTTGGAAACTAGCGGGATGAATATAAAATAAAGGATCAAGCATATTGTTTCTAGAAGATCTCACAGTGAATTTAGAGCTCAAGTATTGTAGATTAGTGACCCCACCCCCCACTTGTACAGAAAAAAGAGCAAAAGGGATTAAACTCATAGAGAATAGAATATATAGAGAGGAATTAAAAGAATCTCTCGGTATGAATTTTTTCAGTCCCTTTCAGCCTGAAAGGGAGTTCAAAGTGTACAAATCATAAGTTTTAATCATCATCATGGTTTTTGCTACAGCCTGTCCCTAAAAACATGGGAATAAAAAGACCATTTCGAAATCGCCTGTGTCAAGAAATAGCGTTGCCCTACCGATCTTCAATGATCAAAATCAAGTTATTTCTGCTAGAGTTGACTTTTTAAACGGTAAAATACTGTTTTGTTTCTCTGCGTTGTTGATGATCTTTAACATTTTGCAAGATAAACAGTGAAGAGGAATTGTGAATGTGAATACGGAAATTTCTCATTTTATCCTAAGACTCTCTATATAAAGATGTGGCATATGAAAAGCGATACAAATTCTAAGCACTTTATTTGGTCTAATAAAAATTTTAAACAAATGTCGTCTTCTTATGAATAAAGGCATTTCTTGCTTGCTTGGAAGTTTCATCACATTTAATGATTCATAATTTTTAACAGTAAACAAACACATTCTTAACTCCAACAGACGAAACATATTCGGATTACATTTACGGCTTTCCTATAAAGCATCACCATTCTGAATCAAAAATCATTTAAAAGACGACAGCCAAATTGTCACTGAAATCACATGTTTATTGGGACACCCTGTGTAGTTTACATAATGATATTATAACGATCCCTGAACATGAACTGTTTGCGATTAATTACATTAATTTGTTTATGCAAAGCGTAAACATTGCATGTATTTATTCATTCCTTAATTTCTAATTTTTATAATAATGGAATTAAAAACAGTACAGTGGGGATTATTAAAGTATTATTAGGAAAACGACATTTGAGCATCTTTGTGTGTGCATACATTTGATTTTGTTATGCAGCAAACAATTTTACTAGTAGCTTGAAAATTAAGCGATGGGAAATAGCTAGATTTGTTTGCTGAAATATTTAATATTTTTAGACTTTTAAAGGTCCAACGATTAAAAATTGTATTCTGTAGAAGTTTATCAAACATGCAAATTTGTTAATCTAGGTAAAAATATAAGGCAAAAACAAATCAAAAACTATCGTCTTAAAAACCCAAAAACTATCGTTGAACTTTTTTTCTTCTAGGGGGAAAAATGTCTGATAAAAGCAAACTTCTACAGTATAAAGTTTTAAAATGTTGAAACCTTCTCATTTTGTCGCAAAATCTTTTAAATGTTTTGTAAAAAGAATATGACTTTTGCCTATCTGTAGTAATTAAATAATTTTTTTCCTTAAAAAGGATAGGCAATTACACGTACCAGATAAGTTTAGTCGTTTTGACGTTTATTGGATACATACACCCTGACATACAATTTTATATATAAAAATATAATTATCCCCTTTGTAAAATACAATAGCTTGTTCATCTGATGATCCACTGTGCAATACATGAACTATTATCCCTATCATGACTCACTGTGCAGTAGAAAGAGTATTGCCCTCTATTAAAACACTGTGTTCAGTGTGCAGGATACTAAATATTGTCTATAGAACAATATCATTTATAATTGTGCAGAATACAGAGTTTTGTCTACTTAATAATCCCCTGTATTTACTATATAGGATAAAAACTATTGTCCCCGGACCACCAACTGTGCAGGATACTGATTAATGACCCTATTATGAACCACTGTTCAGGATATCAATTGTTTGCTCGGGTTCCAAATGCTAGTAAACCTTGTGAGTAATGTCGTCATCATTCTTCTTTTTGGATTCTACTTTGCCTCCACTACTTACGATGGTAACTTTTAATCAAATTTTCTTCAAATTTTTTAGATAGAATTTTGTCCACTGCCGATGAGGGGGGAGGGGCTAAACCTATTTACACATTCCAGAGAGGTGCAGACCCCCGTTTGGAGATGAGTTAATCCTGAAAAATTTCGGTTTTATATCTCTGAGGGGTGTACGTTTAGCCCCCACCGTTTTAATTATGTCACAATGAAACGTAAAAACGCTTTATCCCCCTTTTCTTAGTTTTTTTTTCTCTCTTAAATGACAGATAAATGGTATACATACAGAGGGCCCCAAATCATAATGGAGCTTTAATACCAAAATATGCACGTAAAACTAAAAAACATAGTGTTTTCTGCATGCACATCTATATATTAGCAATACACAATTTATAAATGTTTTGTTCTTTTTAAATTTTCTGACTAACAAATGTCAATTAAAGCTATAATGCGATCCAATATGATGTGGGACACCCTGTACATTGATTAATACAGGGTTACCCACAAAGGATGAGACAGAAGACGACCTGCAACTAGAATATGATGATTTAAGTACTGCCTTAAATATTGTTGTTTAATGGTTTATTTATTGATTTAGCAAAGAACAAACCATGTTTACAGTTGCAGGGAAACATAAAAATAAAAGAAAAAATNATCTTGTGACCACTTCAAGTTATTATATTATTCAAGTCAAGCATATTTGAGGTTTCTTTGTAAGTACATTGGCTTGTTTTAAGGCCAGATTTTTTGTCTCTTTTTTAACAAATATTTTTGAAAATATTGGCGTTCAATAATTTATCTAAAATTTCTTGGTTACATTTTTTTGAATAAAGTTTAGAAGGCTGTTTTGGTGTTGGAAAATTTCATAGATAGGATATTTCATACATAGGATATTTCATAGATAGGACATTTCATAGATTTGACATTTCATAGATAGGACATTTCATAGATTTGACATTTCATGGATAGGAAATTTCATAGATATAGGACATTTTATATTATAGGACTCGACATTACATGGATAGGATATTTCATAGAAGAAATTTTATAGAAAGGATCAATTTCGTTACATTTCACACACTGTGTTTTAAAGATCTCAATGTCTCAAGCAAAAATCGATAAGAATTTTGCCAATTACTTCTTAAAAAAAAACAAAGTTAAAAGCAAGTTCTTTTTAGTGCTTAAATGTACATGTAAAAGGGCTAGAGAAAAGCATAAGTGAGTTAAAACGGTAAAATCTAAGTCTACCCTAGTCTAAGTCTTAGTCTACAAAATTAAAGAGACTTTTATTAAGCAGGCAGACTCTATAGGTCATTTTAGAGATAGGACATTTCATAGATTTAACATTTCATAGATTTCATGGATTGGACATTTCATAGAGAGAACATTTCAGAGAAGACTGCATTACATAGAAGACATTACACAAATTCATAGACAGGCCCTTTCAAAAATGAATGCACCATACCATTTAGGGTTAAATATTTATCTAAAAGTTTAAAGCTAACGTAGGAATCTATGTCTGCAAAATATTTGAAATACAATTTGAATAAGACGATTAAAAAGATATTAGGTTTTCTAAAATAGATGTCAATGTTTTTCAGCAATTACTTTCTAAAGGAATTGAGTCTTTGCCACCCACTCTGATTTTCTAATCACTATATCTTTGGAACCAAATGTTGCAAATCTTAGAAATTTCTAACTCTGAATTCTGTTAGATCAAATAATCTGAGTTTGAAATATCAAAGGTTTACAACATCGAGTTCTAAAGATATTGAGGTTTAAATATTTGATTTTGTTCCAAAGACTCAATTCCTTTGCCAATAACTGAGAGAGAAAAAAAATTGGATTGTGAAATAATCTAAAATGTTTTTGTTTATTTTGTTTCTATTTTAGTCGCTTAAACCGTTCTG